CAAAAAAAACTTTCCAAATATCTTTCATTTAGTTTTGTTTTTTTTTTTATAAATCTTTTTGTCTCATGTAATAAAGCCTATATATATTATTACTAAAAATCAACATATTTCAACGTATAATACCAAAAAATATATTCCCTCCTACAGAACTTATAATATGCCTAAGTATTTATTATATTTGTCTCTAAAAATAAGAGGAAATGACATGATGCAACTTATAATATACCTTAAGTATCTATTCTTTGGTATAATATTATAAATGTTGAGTAATCTAAAACTAAGATTTTTGTTGTTGCACCATATAAATAATTTATTGTTAGAAATGTTTTCACATCAATTTAATATAGTTTTAAGTCAAAATGATTTATTTATTTTATACTTATGCTTTATGCTTTTTGAGAATGATAAGTAATCACTTAGAATTGAATTTCTTTTCTTTTTAATAAATTTCTTAATAATTCTTCTTAAGATGTTGAATTTGTTTTAAATATTTTTTAGTACAACTTGTTTAGAACTATGTCATTAATAATAATTTTAACATGGTTTTTTATTATTGTATTTTGAAAAAACAAATGAAGTATTAAATATTATAAATGACTCTTTTTTACTACAATAAAGATATTTAATAATGATTAAAATAGTCTATAACATAGGTTATAAATTCGTTAGTGATGGAGTCATGGTTGTATGTGATAAATATAAAAATGATTATAACTTGTCTATGTCAACATACGATTATGGTTATGTCACTTATAATAATGTGTATCTTTATAAATAATCATCATTGTATCCAATATGTTTATGACGACGATCATGGTCATTAATCATCATCATATCGTTATTTCTTTTTAATATATAATTTATCTTATAACTCTATATCAATTATCTACGTATTTAATCAATCTAGTTAGAGGAAGAAATACGGGGATTAGGGTGGTCATGCCCCCTCTCCCAATATTTATATATAGAGAGAAATTAAATAAAAAAATATTTTTTAAGTATTAATAAAATTAAATTTTTTTATCTTTTCATCTCTCACCTTTTCACTCATAATAAATATTATCTTTATTTTTTTTTACACAATTTCCAATTTTTACCCCCTCTCCCTCTCTTTATATATATATATATATATATATATATATATATATATATATATATAATATATAAAAGAGACTTTTTTTTTTACTTTCATATTTCTTCCTTTTTCCTTATCATTTCTTCACCTTCGTATTCTTCTCTTTTATGATTTTCTTACATAACATAAAAATTGTAAGTTCTTCTCTTTAGTTTTTTCAAATTTTGCTCTTTTATAGTTTTACCTTTATAGTATAAAAATTGTAACTTTTTGTTTTTAAGTTTTTCTCATATGTACAAGTTGGAGACATTTTCACGTTGTAGAAATACAAGAAGTTAAAAAAATAAAGGAGATATTCTACAATATTTTTCTTGAAGTAAAGAATAGTAAGTAAATTTTTATTTATTATAAATTAGTTGTTTTAATATTTTATATGCTCTATGTTGATGCTAAAATGGGAAAACAAAAATCAGATTGAATTTTAAAGATGTCTAAGAAGAAAACTATATACTCATCTTTTAAGAGAAAAGAGAGAATAAATAATGTAATAAACTTTGGTTTACCAAATTTAAATTCAACTAGGAATATTGAAAATGTTATGGAGCAACCTACAATTGATCAATTTATTTAAATAACTTCCAAAATTATGAGGATTGGACATGAAAAAATTAATATTGATACTTTCATACATGATTCTGGAAAGTGTCCACAGATTTGGAATTATCCTATCAATCAATAAGATAAAATTCATAAAGAATATATGTAGTTTGGGTCTTATTAATTTTTTGATGGATTAGTATCTACTTTCAGGTTTAGACAATCATCGTCATCAATTACAAGCTAATTGTTTCAAAGTTTTTGCTTAGTTAGAGTATTCACCACAAGTAGATGTTGCATTTTGTCTTCCATATTATTTATTCCTAACAAGTCTACTCCATTTACTATGGGAAGATTTAGAAACTTGAAAAAAGTGAATAATGGAAAGGATTGTTCATTTTCATCTCATATGGGAAAATCTCCTCATAATATTGTTGTTAAACGTGGTAAAAACTTAAAGAATGAATCATGTCATATTGACAAAGTGTTATCTAAGCAGACTTCACAATAAGTTTTACCAATCGATTGTGTCTTAAAGTTTTTATTGATATTATGAAGTGATTAACATTTTAATCTTGTACTTTTAGAAGTCATGATAAAAGTTTGAAATCTAAGAATTCAGACAATTTTCTTGAAATGTTAAAACCTTTGGCTTCTTACAATAAAGAAGTGAATGCAGTTGTTTTGGAGAATATCCCTCTAAATGCAAGATATACATCACCAGCTATTCAGAAAGAAATTCTACATCTTTTTCCTAGAAAGATTCAAAGTAAAATTCGTAATGAGATGATGATGCAAAATTTTGTTTGATTGTTGATGAGACTCGAGATGAATCTAAAAAAGAATAAATAATTGTTGTTCTTAGATTTGTTGATAAAGAAGGATTTGTTAAAGAACGTCTAATAGATGTAGTACATGTAAGAGATGTTATTGCAAACACTCTTAAATAAAAAATTTATTTAGTATGGTCTCATCATAATCTCAATATTAAAAATGTTTGTGGTCAAGAATATGATGGGGCTAGTAATATGCATGGATTCATTCCATCGGTAGTCATTTCAAATCTAAGATTTCTTGACTCATCTCCAAATTGGCAAAACTCATTATCAAAGTCCTTTTATTGTATAGAGTCAATTGGATGACGAATCAATCCATCACATGTCCTCCAATTTGCATGTCATTTAAGGTTTTGAACGTCATTAGGATTCACAAACAAACACTTAAACCTTGGAATTATTAGAAAATACCAAATGAATTTGTCTGGGGTCCCTAAATAGTCATGTCATCATTACTGTCTTAATTATTATTCTTCAGTTTGTAACAAGATAACCCACAACTTTGGACATTTTTTTAGCTCTTCAAACTCATTTCTATATAAAATATAATCATTAGGATATGTAGATATCTTTTTATACCTCATACCCATTGGACAAAATATTTTTGTTGTCTCATAATTACGACTAGATAGTGTTTTCCTTTTTGGAAGCATATCCGTCAACAATTGAAGTAATTCAGTGAAACGTTTATTAATCCACTTATTCATTACCTTCAAATTTACCAATCTTAATATTACTGATAACCGTGTGAAGTTAGTTGAACCAAGATAAAGTGGAGTTTTTGTGTCGTTACATGTATCTTCATACGTATGTATTTGAGCAAAATATTAAACTCTAATATCACGAATCATATCCTCTAGTCACTCAACCATGGTTGAATAAACTAATTATTATGTTCATTTATGATTGATAAATCTAATAACTCACCATTCATGTCCATTTTTAAGAAAATCATCACATAAAATATGCTCCCTAATTTTTTCAACATTTAATAATCTTCTATTAAGACAGGTAAAACATGAATACCTAAATCTTTCACCACTAGAACTAGTAGAAGTGTTACATTGTACAAATAGTAAAAATATTTCACTCATTTCTCACACTCATCAGTTACGTGGATATAATTAATCCAACTTCTGTCCATTTCTAGATTTTGTATGTATACACAATTATATAATTCAGTCAACAATGCAATTTGTTAGGGATGAACACCATCAAACTGAACACAAATTCCTTTAAAAAAGTTAAATATTAATGCACATCATCGTAGTGCAAACACTAAATTCATAGAATCTTAATCACATTAAGGAAGTCAAAACAATTACTAATTAGAGTGGAAGAATAAGCTCTCACGGGAGCGGAATAATGAGCTCTGAAGGTGAAGTGAGTTTCATGGACACAACATCAATTACAAGAGGGAAGAATGGACTCCATAAAACCAATTTCACAACACAGACCCATCATGCAAACCACCACACTCTACTAACCACCACGAAGATCATCATCATAAGCAGTAAAGATGGTGTGACACTGTCATTACAAGAAATGAATTGTCATCGCAAGAGAGAGAGAGCGCGAGAAAGGGAGAAGAGTGATTCAAGGGACAAGAGTGATTGAGGAAAGTGTGATGCGATCAAAATAAAGAAAAAAAAGAGGAGGATGTGCACAACAAAAATAAAGAAAAAAGATAAAGATAATAAAATATAAAACACACGATCACGATTTTTTTTAATAATCATTATTTTATAATATATAATAACTATTATTAAAAATTTATTATCAATTTCGATAAATATTTAATAATTATCATTATATAATTTCAAAAATATCATCTTACCATTTTCGGAGACGATTCCTTAATAATTATTATAAAAAACTATCTACTGTAACGTACTTTATTTTACACTAGTTTACGTTGACAATTTAACTTAGACAAATGATTTTGTTAATATTATAATAAAAAAACAAAAATGTCAAATGATTTCATGAAAGACATCCTTCCTCATTCTCTCTAATTGATTTCATGATGAGGTAGTTACAGAAGTTATTTAAGGAAGAACATATATTATCTTGTTTTGGAACATTTTCATCCGTAGTATAGTACTTTCAACATGATTTTCCAGTAGTAAGGTTCTATTCTATCTTGAAACGAAAAATTACGAAATTTACAATAAAATGCATTCGCGTCAACTTTAACAACAAGGCATGAAATAGCACACTATAAATAGCCCAAATCAAACATTCATTCCAAATCTTCGTGCCCTCCGGATCAAACTCACCTTTACCTTCCTATTTTATTCATTACTATTCTTATGCATTTCTTACTTTGCTCAAATCTCCTTTTCTTTTCTTTTCTTTTTTCTTACGGTTATATTTCATTTTTATTTTTCATATTCATTTCGGTTTGGATTTTAAACTGAAGATGACGAAGGGAACAAGGCAACAAACAAACACAAGCACAAATTAATCAACGCACCGTGAAAGTTCCCACAATGCGCTGCGCCGTCGTCACCGTTGCCGTCTCTAAGGACCGCACAAGCATCCGCACCGTCGAGGAAGCCGTCAAGAGCGTCATCGGCCCCATCTACGACAAGTTCCACCTCGTTCCCGATGAGCTCATCCGCATCGCCGACCTCTCCGTCTCCGCCGCTCAGCATTCTCCCTCGCCCGCCCCTCCCACCGCCTCCGACATCGCCGAAGCCGCCTTAGCCAAGTGCAAGCCAGCGACGAAGGAGGTGTACGAGAGGTTCGAGGCCAAGGCGGAGCAGTGCGGAGCGACGGCATGGCGGCGGCTGTTCCCTCCTGCGCCGAAGGCGGCATGTTGGACGGAGAAGTACAACGATAAAGTTTTGACGGCGGCGAAGGGTTGTAGGGTTTCGGCATTGGTTCCTATGGAGAAGATAGCGAGAATACTCAGTGAGAAACGCGCATGAGTAATTCAAGAGGATTGTTCGCAATTTTGAACTGTTTGGCTGGCTTTGGTCTCGTGCATCATCTGCAGAATTTATTCTTATCTCAAGTCCCGATCGATTCATATAGTTAATATTATTGAATATGAGGTAAGTTTAAAATAATATTTTTTTATTTTTTTTTTAATTATGTCACAGTTTGATTGTAAAAAATGTTTCGATAAACTGAGGTAAAAAATATAAATTATCATTAGTTTCAAATTTTAAAACCTCTTAGTTAAAATTAAGGATAATTCTATTATGCTTGGTTTTGAAAATGTAACTCGACAAGTTAAAGAATTAGAGTTAGAGTGTTTTATAATTATATTGGTTTTAATTTTGAAGAATGTGGAAAAAATTCGAACGTGTAATTAATGAGATTCAAATGAAGTATACGCGGTTAGTTCGGTGCACTGTGACATGAATGAATGAAATTTCTGGGTACGGATGAATCTCATGCTGCAATGCCAATTATCCGACAGTCGAATTTAAGATTCGATGTTTGAAAAGCTTTTGCAGGTGATTTCTTTTTCACCTTTTCGCTTGAAATAGATTCTTTTGACCTTTTAACTTTTTTTTTATTATTATTATTTATACAAGCAACTAATTAAGTACATATATAAATGTTTTGTTATTCACTTTTTCTTATTTGAGTACGTGAGATTTATAAGTATGTCCCTGTTATTTTTGTTTTTGGCTCTTCTTCTATATACTTCCATAATTTTTCTTTGATGGAATATACTCACGTTAAATATTTAAAATATATTTTTAATAATTTTATTTTTTATCCTAATTTATTTTTCTAATTTTTATAATTTTTACACCTCTATATTTTTTTTGTTATTTGATTATTTTGTAATATCATCTTTATTAAAAACTTTTTTTAATAATTAAAGATAAATAATTATTAATATTATATATGAATTACATGTTCTTAAATTATAAAAACAAATCTAAATTAATAATCTAAAATAATATTATAAAAATAATATTAAATTCCGAAACATCTAATGCGAAAAGTATTTCTGAAACTTATTTTTTAGAATGTAATTTTAAAAAATCAATTTCAAAAATGTATTTAAAAAATACATTCTATAATATATTTTTCAATAAAATATTTGAGTTTTCTGTGCAAATGTTTCCAACCAAAAAAACATGTTAAAAATTTGATACAAAATAAAAAAAGATTGGACATTCTTACTTTGTAATTTTTGGAATAATAGGAGATGAAAAAATAAAAATCCATCCTTAAACAAAATAAAAAATAAATGGAATTTAATTTAATTATGAGAGTGCATAGAGAAATTACAAGGATACGAAAAGTAAGAACATTTGATTTTTAATATTCCATCAAGAAGGTAATAGAAAAATCATCCTCATTTTTGTTTCCTGTTTTACATATTATGTTTTTTTTTATGAGTTGTTATTTCAAGTTTTTCAATTATCTAATCTGTATCGTATTTAGTGGTGGTTGATTCTTTTCAAGATTAACTTCCATTTTTGTTTTGTTTATTGTGTTTAAGAATTTTTCAAGAAAACAGTCAAAAAGATGACTTGCATGATTAATATTGAGAAATTTATATGCAATAACATCTTCGATGTGACACGTTAAGATTAGTGTTATGTGAAAGAGCATGACATTCTTATGCTCTTCTTTAAGAAGACATGAGACCTAGAGGAATATATTGTAAAAGTTAAAGAGGAAAAAGCTCACTTCTTCGTCATTTTATTACTTTTTAAGTGAAATTTTTTATGAGGTTGCTATTTCTGGTTGAAGTTGGAGAAACTCTTTTAAATAAAATATAAATTCTAATAAATTATTTCTAAAAAAATTACTCTTTGGTTTTATATGAAGACCGGTGTGTTGTTGAAGGAGTATCTTAATGAAAAATAAATATATTATAAAGCTGGTGGATTTGAATGTCATGATGAACATAAAGATATTTCAATCATTAATGTCTTCTTTTGTAGGAGAGTTTTGTGAATTTTTTTGTTGATAAGTTTAATCTCCTCCTTTATTTAACAATTTTGTGAATTCTTTTAATGTCTAATAATTATTTTTTATTAGCGCTATAAAATTAATTTAAATTTTTAATAGGTAATCATACGATGGAAATTTTATAATTCTACAACCACTATGTTTAGAAAATAATATAAACGATTCTTCCTTATTGCAATGCACATGAGAAAATTAGGATTATGTCTATTATAATTGTTGGATCATACCATATATAGAAGATTTAAGTTTTTGGACTATTCTTTCTTCTCTTTTCCTTAATCTTTATTTATAATTCTTATTTTTAAATATTTTATTAAAAAATATCTAATTTATAAAATAGTTTATATCACTACGAGAAGGAATTATCGTTTCTATTTTATTTATTTAAAGTCATAAAAAGACTTCTTAACTTGGATTTAGATATTAGAATATTCAATTTTTCAAAAGCATCAGTTCAAACCATCCAACTCAAGTAAAAAATATAATAATTTAGCAAAGCACTTAGAGAGGCCAAAAAAAAAACGAAAAATATTAAGACAAAATTATATGAATCAAATAATACAAATTAAAAATCAATAAATATTAAACCAAAATGAATAATATATTTGGCAAAACTAAGAATAAAAAAAAAAATCACTACCAAAACAAATAGACAATCACAAATAATAAATATAGAATCACAAAAAAAAATTACTCAAGCAAAACAATTATACAAATTTTAATAAAAAAAATTAAAACAAGCAACAAACATTGAAACTAATTTCTCAAACCAAATACAAATTCAACAAATATTGTATTTAGATTTTGAATAGTTAAGGTATAATACTTTCTCTTATTTTGTTTTGTTTTACACATGCAAATGTCTCCACCAACACTCATCAATTTTGGTTTTAACCTGTTTTCCAATGTAAACTATAAACACAATGCAGAAGTAGAATACTTAATTTTTATATTTGAACAATCTAATTTTTTTAAAAAATATATATATAATAATTAAAATAAGTACCACTCTAAATTAAAAAGATAAAACAACATTATCAATTATTATGTACTGAAACAACAACAAACATTGATAGAAATAATAAAAAATAGATGAACAAACAAAACACCACTCCGAAATCTAGACAAAAAAATATAAAATACAATTAAAAATATATTATTTATTATGATAAATTTAGAAATCAAATTGATTTTGTCACAATAGTTTGTGATAAATTTTAGACACTGGATTCTATTTCTACTTATTGTGTATATTTTTATTTCAACAAATCATAGTTTGAACCATGCTATTAATATGCAATTTTTTGTTATGACTTTAAGAAAATTGAATCTACCAAAGTAGGCACAAAAAAATATTGAAACATGATAATTTCAAGATTCTATTTCAATTCATAATAGGAATGAAGCAAAACATGCTTTTATATATATATATATATATATATATATATATATATATATATATATATATATATATATATATATATATATATATATATATATATTGTGCATGACCAAAAATATAAAAGGTTGAAAGTGTTTGGAGTGTTGTACTTCTCAGCCAATCAACTTCCTTGTGTTTCCACTATACTAGGAAGCAAAAAAGAAAAAATAAAAATATGAAGTTGTTTGAAAATTTATACAAAAGAAATTAATTTGATTGTTGCAAGAAACTTCAAAAACAATTATTTTTAACATTTTTTATTTGTTTTTGTCATAGTTCTAATTATTATTCTAGAAATATTTTCTTCATATTAACTTTTCCTTTAATTGTTCTTTAACTTCATTTTTCATAGTAAGTTTTTCATCTATGTCCTCCTTAAAGTGCTTTTCATTTTGTTCATTATTGTACACTAATCATTTTTTACTTTGTATTTTTCTTTCATATGAAAAAGACAAAATGACAAAAATTACCTTCCTATCATATATTTAATTGAATGAAAAAATAATAATACTATAAATTTTTGTAACTTATTTTATTGGGATGAATAAAGTTAAAAACTTTATTTAGTGATTCTCTAAATTTATATATATATATATATATATATATATATATATATATATATATATATATATATATATATATATATATATGAAAGTGTTTGGAGTGTTGTACAAACTTTATTAAAAAATTTATTTTAGTGACTCTCTAACTTTATTTTTAATTTTATTTTTTTCTCCAATATGAATTTTAAAATAAAAGAAATTTTATAAGTATTTAAAATATCTTTTAATACTTAAAGACTCTTAAAAATTACTTATATAATTTTATTATTTTTAGAGATTATCTACGAGAAGCATAATGTTTCATGTAATGTTTAGCTGAGAAAGGATAAAGAAATTAAAAAAAAAAAAAGAGTATTTTTATTTATTTTATTTCTTGCTTATCTATCTAACAAATCACCAAGAGTGAATTTGATAGCTTATTATTAATTTAATTTTCTTTTTGTTAGTGTATAAAATCTCTATAGAACTTGAGTAATGCATGGAAAATAAATCAGTTATTCCTCTAAATTCAATAATAAACAACCATCTATTAAAAAGTAAATAATTTTAATTATTTTTATCCTCATTAATTAATTAATGACATGCTTCTAAAAATATTTTTGAATTAATTGAGATCTTAATTTTAAATATTTTATGTAAATTGCAATAAAGATGTTTTTTAAATATTTTTTTTGCCCACAAACTTGTAATTCTTAAATTGACTGGTCTAAAATTATTGATTAAAAAAAAAAATATTGAGATGTGCCCGAAAACTAGAAAATGAATCAGGTCGGGAAGTAACGAAATTACCCTCACCGGTCTATTTGTTCTCTTCACTTTTTGGGAACAATTCAAACAAGGATGATTCTGCAGCAATGGGCGTCTCCATGCGGAAACAAATGCACCAATAAATATGCTGCTCTTACCAAAATCCCATGTAATAATCTCTTCACCATTTCGGATTTCTCTGTTTTTTTTTTTCTTCTAAATTTTGGGAATGTTTAATTTGACATGCAATGCATAGAATGGTAGAATCATATGTTCCGGAATTGTGTAAACTTCTTCATTGCCCATATCTTGATTTCTGTTTGATTTTCTATGTTTGGGCATACTGTTGAATTATTCAAATTTTTTTTATGTATAATACATTGAATTAAGGTAAAAAAAAGAGTAAGAATCTATCTCATTGAAGGTTTTTTGTGAAAATTTTGAATGTTGATGTCGATTTGAGGTTATTATAGTGTTAATTGATTTTGGACTTGTACTCCTAATTCGTTCTTGCAGTCACATATCTACTTGTTTTGTAGGGCGAGTATTCTGCAAGAAGGGTTGCAACTCAGATGGAGAGTCATGGGAAGAATGTAAGATCATTTTGCACCCTGGTTAATATTTTTAACTTATAAATTGGATGAAAAAAAAAATCACTCAAAATGTATACTTGATGGATTCCATTTTCTTGTATTTATGCAACAATACTAGCACAATAGTCTTTTTTTTTTTTTTCTTGTCCTTCATAATTTTTGTATGATTTTTCTAAAAGATCATATTTAACCTATGTATAAACTAAGTTTTATTTTTTTGAGAAACTGATTTCATTTTTTTTTCCTATTTTTCCCTAAAAGTACATATAAAAAAGTTCATCTTAACAGATTTGAGGTCAAACATTAACTTTGGCTCTGTAACTGGTAGAAGTAGTTGGTTTATATCATATTTTAGGAAGAGGATTGCTAGCAACACGGTTTATCTCCGTTTCATTCAAGGCATATATTATGAGGAAAAGAATGGAATAGGTGCGACTGTAAAAGTTGGGCTTGATTTGTGATAGAACATATTTATTAACATGAGATAAGAATATTGGTTAACCAGGTTTGGAGGACTGCAACCAAATATGCTACAAGGATCCTGTACTAAAGGACCAGCAGTGGAGTGCCTACATTGATCGTTCCCCTGGAGCTGCCAGTTACTCCGAGGTATTTTGTTTCAAAGTACATGTTTCTTTTACTTCTCATGGTAGTGATTGCAACTTGTAATTTCTGATGTATTCTAGCTAATTTATTCTTTAATGGTTTTCCTCTTTATAGTTTTAATTGACTTTTAATATTTGGTTGTCATCTTAAACATCTTTCAAATCATGAGTCTGTTAATACTATGATTAAGATGATGTATAAGCTCTTGTATCATGTCAAATTTCAATTTAATACCAATTAACATTAATCGAAGTGGTTGAGTGTATATATAAGTCTATCCCGAAAATTGAGGTCAGCGATATAAAACTCTTTCCAGCACCTCCAACAACATGTCTACTAACCTACTACTAACCTACACAATGACTAAGAAGAGTTATAAACTCTAATACCATATTATAATTCAATTTAACCATTGACAATAAGTAAAATCTCAAAACAAACCCAGAAATTGATTCAAGCAATTGTCAGCAGCTTATATAGCAGTTATGTCACTACATTTATTGTCAAATGGTATTAAATTAAAATTCGATATAATATTAGAGTTTATAGATCTTCTTAGTCATTGTATATTTTAGTAGACTTGATTTTGAAGATATATATCGAGAGGGTAGAGGGTATGAAGAAGTCTCACTTCACCTATTTTAATTCTTGGTATATCGATTAGCCAGTTTCCCTTAATGTCAATTAATATTAAGTTGAAATCTATTTAGTATTAGAGCTTGTAGCTCTTCTTACTTGGCCTAATATGGTAGACTTGCTTGATTTGGTAGACATCTTGTTGAGAGGATATTGGAATCGGAAAGAGTACATTGTCAACCATTAATCTTTACAAATAAATGACAATTTTAATCCTTTACTGTACAGGAATGCTTTCGTGCTTGTGTATCCGGCTGCAGTTACAAGGTCAGTTTGATTTGAAGAACATAAATTTCGGTTAACCTACCATATGCATTCTAGCTTTCCCCCTTCCTACACGTTTAAGAATCTTCTTGTTGGGAAATCCAAGTGTGAGTCTGAGTCTCACATTAAATAAGAATGAGAAAGTTGAGCAACATACAAGGAAAAAAAAACCCATAACCTAATGCCTTAAGGTTTTAGGTTGAGAATAGTGTCAATCCTTATGTGGGTTGGTTTATGTCTTATTGATGTTGTATTCTCTCCAATAAATTCCCCTGAAAGAACTAGCGGTACATGAAATACCTTAAGATTTTGGGTTGAGAGTAATATTAATCCTTATGTGGGTTAGACGTGTTATATTCTCCCTATGAATCCCCTTTAAAGACCTAACACTTCTCAACAAGAAACAGGGGATTCTGTTTTTTCTATATTTGCTTCATATAAACCATTTTTCCTAGCATATTTATTAATGAAGGAGGCGTATAATGATTGATTTTTTAACTTCTGTTTATTAGAAACTTTTTACATCAGCATGATTTATATTGTGTTGCCCATAGCTAGATTCTCTTGCTCCTGAATTTCAGTCTCAGAAAATTTGAAAACCTTCAATGACTTCTCTTATTTACACTTTGAAAAATTAAATAGGAAAATGTATCCCAAAATTGATTTGTAATCCCATCCAAGGTTCTCTAAATAGTGGAATTGTATTACATGATGGGGGTGCATAATTTTGGCTGTAGTGCCTCTCCCAAGGGCATGATGACATCTCTGTGAAGTACCAAAGTGGACTCTTCATTTTTCGTGTTTCAACTAAATGATGTTCATTTATACATTCCACATCTTAACCGTAATTGAAAACTGAATGGGGTTCATCTAAAAGAAAACTAAATCTCTTTGCTATATCAATTACTTTGCATTGAAATATTAGGATGGTTTCCTCTTATATCAAGCTATCACTTAGTGAATTATGTTGCCGATTTACAACATTCCTTCTGTCTCTGACCAATGTATTCAAGATCATTTGTAATAATCCAACTATATATACCTTCACATATTGCAGTTTGATGTTAAACCAGAGGAAGCTGACAAAGTCTCTCCTAATAGGAAAACAAAGTCTGAGATTGAGCCTGCTCAGAAGCCAAAGCCACAACCTATACACCCCATTTACCCGCCTGGTGATATGCCTGGTACTTCAGCATAGTGAAAGACAACATATGTTACCAAAAAGAGAGGAGCTAGCTACACTCTAATACTTTCTTTCTAACATGTTATTTACTGTTTGTTCGAATTTTATTGAAAATCACAAATTTTAGTTGGTCTTATTTCCAAAACAGATGAGAGGCTCGTTAAATAATAAATGTAACTAATCAAATTTTTTTAAAGTTTTAAGTAGTAAAAAGAGCGTTGTTAGCATTTTTCTCACAAATATAAAATGTGTATTCCATTCTTTGTTGGTTATATTCTAAAACAAAATCCAAAATTTATTCTTCATTTCTTATGTTTATATACGAACGGGACTTACTGTTAAATCATGTTAAATGCTATTAAGGTCAGCCCTTGTAGGAAATGATAAATAAAACTTCATTATGTATAAATTTTTTAAAATGTAGAGATATATTACATAAAAATATAGATGATAATTTTATTAGAAATTTAAAAGACTTATTACATTTTTTTTATTAAATTTAATTTAATTTTATTCTTTATCATTGACAAAGTATCATAACTTCATATTTCATGTATTTTTTTCTGTATTAATATATTAATTTTAGTTAAGACAATATTTTAGACTTTGTATTGCACAAACAATTATAATTGATAACACATAAATATTTTTAAAACTTTAAATTATATTTTAACTAATCTTCATAATAAATGCATAAAAATTATATTTTATATTTGTGATAAATGATTTATATCTAGAAGTAGTTACTTTTATAATTTGAGTTTTGGTTTGTTTCGTATCATGTTGAAGCACAAAATCTGGAAGTGGCCGCTTAAAAATTATTTTAAAGTGAATTTGAGAATGTCAATTATCCACTAGTAGTATTTTTGGTTTCAATCTTGTGATGCAGTTATTCATGTCAAACGGAAGAAGTTCTTGGTAGTTTCCACGTAAATTTAGATTTAGATTGGACGTGAAAATTTATATTAACGCGTGTACAAAACAAGCATTAGGTGCATTTTCGGTTCAGATTTTTTAATGCAGTTTATTTTGTTTTTTAAATTTTTTTTTATTTACATATTACTTGAGTGTTTTAGGGTTTATCATTGTCATCTCAACAAATTTTAGAACAATGTTTGTAGTAGTATTAAAAAATCTTCATTTACGCTATTATTGTATAAAAAGGTTTAACTTCAATAAAAATTAAGAGTATTAGGACACATATAGTTTCCTTTATTTGTATGTGTGTATATAATTTATTTATTAAACTATTTTGAAAAAAAAAAAAAAAAAGCAAGAAGATTTCATCAGAAGTGGAAGAAGGTCAAAACTAATTTACCTTTGAAGGCAAAGATATTCTATTTTCTTTTTAATTCTAAAAGGGAGAAAAATATGAAACAAAATAATGCACTTTTGGCATGGTTTTTCCATTGCACGTTGAAGGTGTTGCCTTTGCTCCTACTTTTGACGGCGCAAATAATCTCGTACATATGGATGTACCTCAGTCTTAACCACCATATGCATTTTCTTTGAATCTTCCCACAACAAACCATTCCATTCTCTAGCACAATCACATGCACCTTCAAATACATCCTGCTCACAAAGCATACAAATTATCAGACACACACACACAAAAGGTCATGTTCAGACATGAACACAAATCAATGATGCCAAGTTGCTTACTCTGGAAGGGAACTCATCATAATAATATGCATCTGTCATCTCTACTCTGTTTAGATCTGCTTCCCACAGCCTAATCTGTCACCATCACAATGCTAAATATCAGAAAAAGAAATACACGTGCTTATGTGCAAAAACAAGATATTAAGATCCAAAACCTGATCTGTGACATTTTCAGGCACGCATGGTATCCTCTCCGCAACACGGGGATGAGCATTTTGCTGAAGGAAAGTGACTATCTGTGACATCAATGCACATGGTTGTCTGTGTAAGATATTTTTCATAGTAAATTCACTTAATATTTGAAGACTAACCTACAAAGATAGTAAAAGACTGCCAAAAGATTTAGTGGTGGTGGTGATTACAACTACAAGCATGTTAGGTCCCCGCATATCATGCTTAAAATTGACCAGTTTCATATATTCTTGCTGAATATATACACTTATGTATAGGCTTATTTTACAAAACTGAAATGGTGTGTTTAGGGAGCGAACAGGCAAAGCTGATACAATTGGCCTACATAATTAAAAGAATTCACACAACACAGGTAGAGAAAGAGAAAAAGAAATAAGTTCTTATGTATTGATTAGTGAGTAATTGTGTCTCAGCACTCTCCATCACAATGAGTTTCCCCTAAACCAACTTGTGCAGTATCTACTGCACTTCTATTTATAGCAACTAATTCCCAACTACCTTACTGACTCATGTGACTGCCTAACTAAAAGACTTGTGGATCAGTTTGGTTTGTTATATTCCTATTCATTTCAAAAATACACTTTAGTCATAGGCCCCTTATTCCTGACAAATAAACATAGCAAGAAATGTAGCATCATATTCTAAAAACAGATATTACATCATAAAATTTCTATTATCTTACCTGATCTGCTGTAATGCCATTTTCAAAAGCATTATACAAGCTTTCTTTTGTAATAGCTCCAACAATAAGGTTTGGAAGTTGATACTCTACCCTGGATACATCACAAGTATGATACTAAGCAGTAATATTTTGTTGAAATATGCAGCTAAAAAATTAATAGCTAATAATGGTTTCATATAAAAATAGTATCAGAAAAATTAAGGATATTCCAAAAATGTCATGCAGGAAGAACAACTTCTGATATGTATACAATGAGATCAATTCAGAAGTACCTTTTGTATTTTTTTATTTATCTAAATAAATTAAATAAATTTTTAAATAAATTTTTATTTTTTAAAGAAATTGATTTAAATTGTTTTTTATTAGAACAGACATAATTCAATGGGTCTAATTCTGAAATTGAATCTCATGTATCTTAGGAATATATCAAGGGATAAATAATTGACCCAGTACAAAACACAATGGCAGGGAAAAAGCAAGGAAAAACTAAATGTTTTATTTAAAGTTGCAAAATATAACAGTTTACAAAGTATTTGATGGCATACCTTGAGAATAGCCGCAAGATCTCACAGTGTAATTTAGAAGTTGAGTAAGCATAAACTCTAAAATTTGTTTCCACGACCACGAATCCCTGAAGAAATTGAATAGAACAACATTTTCCATTAATATTCACAAATCAGAAATGTCTTTAAAACGGCCATCATATTATTGTCGCTATAAAGGAAAAGGATCAATTCATTAAAGCCAACGTAAGGTTAATTAAAATGTTAGGCAGTCGTCTTGGGTAGCAAGTAATAATACACTCAACAAAAGATTGTTGAGCAAGAGTCAAGATTAGAGGTGTCAATATAGGTTCTAACCTATGAGCCAATCCGGCTCACCACGGGTTCGAGAAGGGTTGGGTTCGATTTTTTTTATTTCTACCGATTATGGGCTAAAAATGAACCCGGCTCACTTATCCCACGGGTTAAACGGGTTCGAGCCGGGTTATGGTGGGTTGGCCTGCAACCCACCATTAATTTTAAATTTTAAAAATAATTATAATAATATACTAATCTTAATTAATCATTTATTTTAAATTTTAAAAATAATACTTTAGTAACCCTAATTGATGTTATCCTGTCTCACCTCTACCCTACATTATGACTACCGCCACAAACCAAACTCTCACTCAAGCTTGTTATCAATTGTTCGTCGTACCACTACGTTTGCCGTTGCACTTGGGTCACTTATCTTATCATCTGTTCACCGCACCACTACACCACCGTGTCCACTGTACCGCTTTCAAAGGTAAGAATTTGTACCATAACCTAAATGATTTGATTGATGAATCTTTATTTGAAAAATGTAACATTGTGTTAATATCTTACAATGCAATTATATATATATATATATATATATATATATATTTATATCATTTAAAAAATTAAAAAAATATGGGTTAGTGAGCCAACCCATCAACCCGTGGTGGGTTGAACCGGGTTGTAAAATTTCTGGCTCGCCAAAAAGTGAGCCGGGTTGAGCTCACCTATTTTCAGCTCAACCTGTGATGAGCCAACCCGTGTGAGCCGGGTTGGCTCACTTTGACACCCCTAGTCAAGATATCTCCCATGTGTAGTCCAGTAAAACTTGAAAACTCTGAAGAACATGAGTGTGTGCAAGTTTGGAATGATTGAGACGAAGCAACAACACCTAACCAACAACATCAGTTGTATCCACACATATGCACATGCAAAAGAAATTGGCCATACTGAAGTATGCCCCAAAAGAGTAAGCCTTCCTAAATGAAACTATATTTTCTGTCAAATAAATCAATTCTGAAACCAATAAGAAACCTGTTTTCTAGACGATGAATCAGCCAAGCTCATTGAAAGATTGGTTGCCAATTTTGTGGGTATAAACCAACTTCCTTTCCTGCCCTATAAAGTTGCCACAAAAAGAAGAAAGAAAAGGGAGACAAATTCAGATGAATAAATGTACAATTTAAATCATCATGAACCTAATCGCATCTAAAAATAAGCACAGAAATATTATAACCTGCTGAAGTTTGACCAGTCCAAGGTCTGCTAGGTCATTAATTATGCTCCTCTGAAAATCAGTCAATGTGTTTATACTGTATGCCTGATGCAATGAAAACACCAATAGTGTCAAGGTCACATTAAATCCAGTTTATGTAAAGGAAATACACTTGCAGTTTCAGTAAACATAGCTATAGTGAAAATGGAACAAAAATGCTGAACTTTGGTGAGTCCAACACCTATTGTAAATAATGTTGAATACCATGATATATAATTTTTTTATATAACAAAACTCTCATCAAGGAACGAGAATATCTTACCTCCCCAATGACATGAAAGCTAAGTTCCAGCATGAATGAGATCAACTCAGCTGCATCAACACCTCTCTCCTGCACCAAATGTGGATAAAGAAGAGCATGAACAATTTGCAAAAATGTTATTGAAAAAAAAAAAAGTTACAGCTACCTCAGAATTAGAGATATATTCTCTGATGATGTACCAAAGTTGTGCATTTGTATCCATCAGCTGAAATTCAAAAGGAACAATTTTTATATTTAGGAAAACACATTCCATTAATTTCAATTGGCTTATAAATCATTTGATGCATACCAAAAATTGGAAACCACTTTCAGTTAATTTTGGAGCTTCTTTATCTCTGTATTGGCACATGAGAAAATGACATTAAACACAAGATACAGTTTGCAATACCCACGTACACATATAGGAAAATGCTACAAATGAGAAGTATTACTGCCAAGGAAACAAAACCTTTGACTCAAGAGACGTCGCTGGAAAACTTTCATCAAAGAAGTGCTAAGATTTAAGGGCTTATCAGCATGAATTGGGCTTATGAGTTGCAATAAGAAACACTAGTTCATCACAAAACCAAGTAAGGTGCATTTTAGTCAAAATTTAAGTAAGGTGTTGGATATCAAATAACAATTAAAGTAACTTATGTAGAAAATAATATTAAGTATAAAATAAATAAATGTACAGAGGTTATCAAAATAAAAAAGTGAAATGAAAAATTAGAAGATTGTACCTCCCATTGCTCTAGAGCATAAGCCTCAAGATTCTCTAAGGTTGGAAGCCTTACAGTAATATTGGAAGGCATTGATTCCCTTGGCAAAGTTCCACTGCCATATTTAATCACAGGGAAATATTACCAACTAAAGTAAAATGAATTTGTAGTATGACTACAGTCCACATATTAACAATTACATTGCTCTTCATGAAAAATTCAGAATAGAGGAGTGACTCTGGTTAGTTAATGTCATGGAGAGACCATCCACTGTCTAGGTTAACTAACCCATAATGCATAAAGTAGAATAGTTTTATCACATGACTCAAATAAACAGTTTTGTACATCACATCGTCATCATATCAGTGAAAGACAAGCTAACTTGTACCATGGTCCAAGAACAGAAAAAGGAATGGAAAATATGCATTATTCACCCTTGAACTAAAAGCTTTTGGAGACTTCTTTGATATGTTGGATTGACTTTGTATGTCTTTTCATTCTTCCTGCCAGAAGGAGAACAACTTCCTGAAGTAAATTGGATACGGCAAGTGTAAAAGTGACAATCCAGTGCTAACGAAACTTAGCTAGACACTAAGACATAAAAAGAGAAGAAGAAGAAGAATGTATACAATCCAGAGAAATGACCCGCATAATTGATATATGTTCCTCTTTTTGGAAAAGGAAAAAAATAACAACAGCAGAACTAAGTGATCAGAATTAATTGCCTTTTACTATCACGCGATTGATAACTTTACACACGTGTTCTGAAAGAAATAAAGGAGAAAGCAAACAAATATCATGTCATGGAGCATGCAACAAATAGAAATATTTTTCAATAAACTACAACATGCAACAAATTAAATAAGAATTTATCACAAAGCCCTTTAAACACATTGCAAGATGCAAAAAAGGTGTGCATCCTCCATACTGCCATTCATCCAATTGTCATTTGAAATTAACTGAATCAGTTCAAATAATTCAGAAGCACAAATATCCACTTTTCATTTTCACAAAACATGAAAAAAACAAAACTTTTCATTAGTGAATAAATGTGTACCTGTCAACGGCTTCAAGGAAAACTCTCAACTGAACCAACCTATCAACGGCTACTCTATGTTTTGAAACTCCATCAGGAAGCACCCACTCCTCCAACAATTTAGCTGCCACTGGCACATCAATTTGCAGCATCTGTATGACGTATTTCTTCGCAAGAGGCGGAAGAGACCTGATATTTGAAGATATATATCTGTTAAAGCCCCAAAGTAATATTCAAGAAACTAAATACCACTTCTCTAGCCCACTTAACTCTGAACTAACAGATAAAAAGAGAATCCAAACTAATTCCACAATAATGGCTTAAGCCACCATCAAGTTACAAGTTGGTAGGGTCATTTGCATCCCATCAAGTTCAAAAGCAATTAAAACTAAACACCATATGAATGGAGGGTGAACGGATAAGAATCTGTTACTGAGGCAAATAAAGATGCATAATCTTTTCAATAAGTTTGCACAATGATACCCTCAATGGATTCCTAAAAGAATAAAACAAAAGGAAACGTTGAACCCAAAAATAACTAGAGCCACGGATAAAAAAAAGCTAGAAAAAAAAAGACCTGAGAATAGCCTCACAGATGAATCCATTTTCATAGAGCTTATCCAGCTTCATGGCGGGCATGGAAGCCACCATGTCCATGAAATTTTTGGCAATGATCCTAACCTCTGGCATTTTGATTCCAACACCACCACCTTTTCTTTCTCTTTAATTGGATTCTGATTAAAGGGGTCTCTACGCAGGGGTGAAGCAACCAAATTGAAAGAAAAAGCGTGCGACTTTACAAAATCCCATCACAAACGTGGCTGCGTTTCATAGTTGAGGAGCATACAGGGTAGGGATGGCAAAACGGTGAAAAGGGTAGGGATGCCTGTATTACAGGGACACTTTGCAGAGTGAAATTGAAGGATCGAATGAGAAGGGTGAAAAGGGTCTCTTGAAGCGGCAAAAAGAACCGTTCAGGACTTGAAAAACGATCACGTGAAGTTGGGGAGTGAAGATTGTGAAGAGAAAAGAAGAGTGGTGACACTTTTGTAGGAAAATTGATTAAGCGGAGTTAGAGAAACTGCTCTGGAACCTCTGATTCTGTGAAGTTAGAGGCTAGGGGAGCAACAACGCCCAGGAGAAGAAAAACAATTATTGTATTTTACATAATAAATATTTTGAATTTTTTTTTTTAACTTCTAGGTTTTAAAGTTTTTTTTTTATTATTATTATTATAAACTACTATTGTCCCTGCGAAAAATATGAATGTAAAATATACTTTATTAAAATTATTTTATTAGTGTTAAAACTTATAAATGAAAGTTGCAAAGATTGCAGGGTTTTTATTTTGGCATTTTTTCTAAATATTAAGTAAATGAGAAAATATTATCTAATAAATTTGATTTTTGATTGAAAAAATAAAAAGTTAATAATTTCCTATATTAACCAATTAGAGGGAAAACAAATAGTAATTTACATTAACCAACAATATAGAATTTTATGATGAAACTATGCATAGTAGAAATCTTGGTAAAAAATAATATTCAAAGAAAGAGAAAAATAAGTTTAACAAAAAATATTTGATATGCAATGTTGCTGCCCAGGATCGAACTGGGGACCTTTAGTGTGTAAGACTAACGTGATAACCACTACACCACAGCAACTCTTGATATTAAAGGATAAAAATTTTAAAGCAAATATTTTAATTTATAATATCAGTAACACACTATTTTTACATAAACTTTTTTATCCAAATTCATTTATTAAATTATCAAAACAGGTTATTAATGTACCACTTTTCAGCACTTTAGTGGCTTTAATAATTTTTCATTACCATATTTACCAATCACTAATTTTCAATTTTCAGTATATATGGTGCAATGATCGCCATACATGGCTAGAAAGAAATGTGTTTAATTTCGTTCAATATTTATGATGTTGGCTTTTATATAATGTAATATATACAATATAAAATACTTAAAACTATGTATTTAATTAAAATTGATATAATAATACATTTGCTCTTAATATATATCTGTCAAAATGATTAATAACTATCTTTTGTAGATTTTATTATTTAGGAGAGGATATATTAACAGCTTATACCATATGATTAGAAGTGTTAAAAAAATTGGTTAGAACCGATTATATAATTTTCATATAATTCTCTTAAATAATCACAAATTTATGAACCTACATACAAAAAAAAAGGAAAAATTACTATAGTAGTTCTGAGATTTTTAGAAAATAACTTATTTTAAAGAAAAAATTAATATTTTATGAAAATTATATTATTTAGATAGACAATTAAACATTAAAATTTCTAAAATATATAAAACTAATTGTATTACTAAAATTGGCAAAAAAATTCCATTTTAGAAAAAGAAAAAAAATCATAAATGTTTGTAATTTAAATTCATTATATTTTAGAAAAAGAACATACTTCTTTTTTATATATGTATGTATTTCTTCACTCACAATAAATTTTAAAAGTAATTAATATTTAATATCAAAAATCAATTATAAAAATACGTATTGAAATTTGAAAATTAATTAATTCCAATAAAAGAACATTCTAAAATATAATGAATTTAAATTACAAACATTTTAAATTTTTCTAGAATTTTAAAATTCTTCATTCAAAAGTGTTAGTTCAATATATACATTGGTCTATAACTATTATTTGCAGCATGCTAGTTCCTTCTTTATTTCTCCTATTCAACACTTCAACGTGATTTTCTTTTAATAGTCAATGTCAAATGATAATGAAGCATAATAACACATTGATTAAAATTCATAATTAATGCTCTTGAACTGAGAGTAGTTGCCAACATCTCTTTCAGGAATTAAGATTTCAGTAAAAATCAACTGAGTGATATCTGACACTAGAAAGCAGTTGCCACTTCCTGCGGCTAAAAGGCTCAACACTAACCGTAGTGTCTAAGGTTGCTGTACGAGAATGATGTTGGAGCTTCATCTACTACTAAAATTATAACATCTTAAAGCTCCGCTATCAATTGTGATAAAGAGAGATGAATGAAGGAGAAGATAAGAATCATTATAAACAAATAAATAGTGCGATGGACTATAGTGCTTAGCAGTTGCTATTAAGAGGGCCTTACGAAAATATATGGCCTTAATGCATACACAAACTACAGATGCTAACCACACTACAGACATTCCGTTAAATACATTCATAGATGATGAAAAATAGAAGAGTTTCTCAAGAGATTCACACTTAAATGACAAGAACACAATGTGCAAATCTCCTGTTAATAGTAATCAATTCGATCTGTACAGGAATATACAAATGAGCTAGCTAGATAGATATACAATTTACCATCTCAACTTCACCAACAGCCCACAATAAGACGGGCTAGATACTTCCGAAAGCAGAAGTGGGAAGCAAGTACTGCAACTCTATATGATAGGAACTCAATTAGTCGGGCTCGGGTTTTTATGTGACTAACTTGAAGTGGAAGGGAACAGGTATCCATCCAAGACAACAGCATATACTAAAATCTGTCTGTTGCAATCACTTACCTTATGTGAGAGTCATATGCATCAAAAAGGGAATCTGGAACGATCAAAGGCAACTTATCTATGTACATGAAAAGCCTTCTTAGATTCTCCCTTGTCACTGTTGCCATATCTACCACATCCCTTCTATCAGTGAATACCCACAGATCACCTGAGTTCACTCTCTTCAGACTGTCTCGGCAAAATGGGCATGATTGTGATATAGTTCGCCTGCAAAATTTATCAAAATCACTTCAACCTTCAACTAAACCTAGAAAATACTTGAACCACATGTTGGGTGGGAGGTACAAGACAGCAATTTAAAATATTGGGGAACCAAAATGTACACCAAAACAATTACATGAGTGTCCTGTTTCAAACTACAAAACAGACACAGATGACAGATGCTCAACAACTGGTAGGATTGAATAGCATCCACCAAAGGGTCTTGGTTTCAAATCCTCCAGGTGTTCATTCTTAGTTTATTTGCATGTACCATTTTAAGCTGTCAGCCAACTAGCTGTAGCTGATAGGTAGATTAGCTCCTAGACACATGGGCACAGACTTTTGGTTCATCAAGAACCTGAAAACATGTCTTCTACCCAGTCAGAAATGAATGACCAAGTAAAATAAATAGTGATCCCAAGTAGACACGACCCTTCAACTAAAATTCAATTAGAAAAACTAGATAGAGTCTGGCTTCATAGCCAGACCCTTCAACAACATATTCTCATTCACTTTCAATTAACATATCAAACTACAAATAACCCATAATAGTTCCACAGAAAACGGCAATACAAATTCTCTTGGTCATTACAGTACTAAACAGAGCAAAAGTAATTAAGAACAATTTTCTCTGATTTAGAAAGGCCCTTCATGCTTGCACATTCACATATAAGACCAACAGACTTCATTAACGAGACTATTGCAGAAGGCAACATTGGTTACTGGACTGTTCCATTCACAAGCTGGATATTCAAGAAATGAAAACATAAAATCCAGAAATAAATATAATTAACTGTTTAAGCCTTACAAACTACACCAGACTGGAGTGCTAATATCATCAGAATATAAAATGACTCCAACTGAGAATCAACCAAGAGATATTCAGGAGACATACATGCAAGGGATATCCTTCCGTCACCTACTTAAACTAGCTCTATAAATTCATATAGTCTTCTTCTAATCAATTATTTTACAACACCATAATGATTTCGTTTTACTACATTAAACATTCACATTCAAGCAGCAATAACAAGTGAAAACTCAAACCTTCATAAGCACGGTGCCTATTTGTAATTACACCTGCAATCAAGCACAGAACATGCATAGTGAGACTTGTAACTTCCACCACTTACAGCCTCCATTTGCAAGACATTTTACAAGGTTATAAACAACTCCGAAAAAAACTGAACAATATTAGCAGGCTAAATGGATTGCATTTTACTATGGTTGAAATACTGTAGTCATGTTGTAGTGACTGTATTTATAATCCATGAAATCAGCAAATCTAATAAAAAAACCATAAACATAGGAGTTCATTGTTAGAGAACAAAAAGAATCAAACCGTATTAGAAACATCTCAAACAACTATACATCTACGTGCTTGAAAAAGAATGAGGAAGGCCATATAGTAAGAGAGAGAGAGAGAGAATTTGTGGGAGGGTGTACCATTCTCGATAACATTTCAGGCACATGGCATGGTTGCAGTTGGGTAACACAATCTTAGTATTCATGTCCATGCATATTCCACATTCATCTTCTCTTTCAATGTCTATGTCAGAAGACTGCCTATAATCCTCATCATCTCTTCTGCGGTACCTCTCCATGCATACAACCTTCTGCTTCTTATCCTCAGTATCAGTGACACCTCTTTGAAGTTGCAATAAAGACGGATAAATGACCGCTGCTCAGAGAAGATATTCAACGTGTCAGCAAACAACAAAAACTAAAATGCAAACTAACTTATCACATATTGAAAAAACAAGGGCAGTTATACCATAGAATTCTCTAATACTTGCTTTTCTTTCATGTGTAGACATGGTGGTTGTTCCATCCACATAGACCTACAGCATGAGGCAAACTCTTCATCTGGTCCAAGCCCCTCATTTCAATATCTACACATAAAAGTCAAAACACCTTACCTTGTAAATTAGGATTCTTAACAGTCCAAGGGCTCCAGCAAGATGACAATCTGTCCATTGCACCAGAAAAAGAAACAGGTGCGCGGCTGGACTGTATGACATCCTCATCTGAAGGCACGCACCATCATAATCCCTTGGAAAATCTGACGCCCTGCACATCCCAATTTTTAACATGATCAACCAATAACTAACTAGTATATTGATATCTGAGGACAATTTGAGACAGAGAAATATCATTGCAGTATCTACAAAGGAGACCATTGCATTTACCTTGCTTCTCTAAAGATATTTCGCTACAAACACTACATATTACCGAACCAAAAAATGTTATGTAGCCTGTTACTTTAGTGTAGCAGGTAAGAATAGATATAATAACGCAATAAAGTTCAGAGATTAAGAAGCCATGATTTTAACATCAAAATCATCATACCATGAAACAACTACTCAGGGAATTCAACCCCCTAAACGTTTCGACAATTTCACACAAAAACTTCCCCACTCCACGGAAGCAAACACAGAAAGATACGAATAATCAACACAAAATCAATTTAGCCAAGCTTTATCAGTAAATTAAATGCACCCTATTTGTAAAGGAAGAGGTTAAGGATTAAAACTAACCAGAGTCCAGAAGAAAAAGCAAACAAATGAAAAAACAAAAATGGCTTAAACCCCAGAAGAAAATCATCATCATACCCAGAAAAACCTCACTAAGCAATCACCAACCACTTAACCCCCAACAGAAAAAATAAATAAATAAAAAAGGAGGAAGGGTAACAGCCATTGACAGGCCACCGACCTTTTGCAGCAGTGATCACCCTTAAATTCAAATAAAATAAAAAAATAACAGAGGAAGGAACATGACAGTTAAAAACAAAAACCCAGAAAAAAGGAGAAGACCCACAGGGTATTGGCGTGTTGGATATCAGCTTCAAGTACTTTCAAGGAGTCCTTGAAAGACTTACGCATGGAAGCTACATACATCGCAGCGATCACACCACAGAAAAGGAGTAAGAAAGCAAAGTCTGTGAAATGGAAGAAGAGAAGAAGAGAGAAATTATTTGGTGAATGAAACCCTTCTGGCTATATTTCTCGCTCTAGTTTCTGTGAGGGTCGCAGAGTGTAGAGAGGAGAGAAGAGAGAAGAGAGAGAAAGAGAGGCTTCGGAATGCTTCTATGCTGTTCTTGAAAGGCAAGACGGTGAGCTTCTGAGGACACGTGTATCCATCAACACCCTCGGTCCTCTATTACTCAGACAAAATATATTATAAAAAAAAAGTACTATTTATATCTTATTAATTAATTATCCTATTAAATTGTGACTCTCTACCACACTTCTACTTAATACTCCTCTATACTTTAATGTTAAGTCCAAATTATTAAAAGTCGTAACTTCTTTATACATAACTTTATTCACACCAATTTATGTACACGTTTTCTCAAACAAACAAAAAATCACATAAATTAAAAAAAAAAACTAATATTATTTAAAAATATAATTTTTTTTCTAAACTACCATTCATTAACAATATAAAAATAAAAGTGATTACATGAATCATAAAAAATAAAACCTGAATTTAATAAAGGTAGAAAATCATTGTAACAAAATTAAATAAAATGTTCTTATATTTTAAATTAATACCAACAGAGATGTTAAAATACGGTGACAAGTCCAATATAAACGTGATAATGACTCAATTGCTTCATTTCACTCTAATATCTTATATATTGTATTTTTTATATTTTTTTTATTTGTTATTTAATATAAATGAATTTTTAAAAGTATATAAAAATTAAAATAATGTTAAAAATTAACCATACTGAAATTAAAAATGAAAATTATTAATGCTATAAATGAGGTTTTGTTTGGGCAAAACCGTTAATTTATTAGATGAAAGAAGAGAGAGAAAGGGGTGAATAAAGTTGAATCGGTGAAAGAATGAGTTATCCAAACACGCTCTTGTTTGTTTTCTCTCACTGTTTTTGTTTGCCACTTTACCTGTTTTGGTAGCTTTCGCTTCACCCACGCGCTCCTCCTGAGAGTACTTCACACATTTCTTTTTTTATTTGTTTTTTAGTTAATAAACATGAAAAAGTAGTAATAAGATAATGATATTTTAATGATTGTGGTTGTACATTGAATTGGTTGAAAATGATATCTTCTAAGCAAGAGATGTTTAAAAGTATGAGATAGAATTATTTTGGTTTTTAAGATTATGATTATGTCTGAAAGATACTTAAATAGAATACAATAATTTTCTTTACTCCAACGTAATAATATTAATTGTTGCTTGGTAATCGGATGTAACTTGTATTTATACTTTATTAATTCATTTTCATGTTTAACTCAATTTCCACTCTTTTAATCATATAATAACTATTAAAATTCTAGGTGATATCTTTAATTTCATACTACTTATTCACTTATATATATATATATATATATATATATATATATATATATATTTATTTTTTTTGAAAGTTTCTTATTTGTATAGTTTAAATATATGTTAGGTTATTTCACATATTATCAATTAATTTTATGTTTGAACCTTAATATGGTATCGAAGTCAAATCCTAACGTCTTTTCAGTTATTGTTATGGGTCAAAAGTTGTCCTTTAGTTGGGTCAAAGTACTCATTTACTTGTTAGATAGGTTTCATTGGAGAGGACGTGATGAAAGTCCCACGTCACCTACCTCATGTCCTTTAGTATGGTTTAAATACGTATTAGAACTACTTCAGTATATTACCAATACTGTTAGAACCTTAACATATATATATATATATATATATATATATATATATATATATTAATTTTTTTTTACGTTACCTACAATAGTTCCATATCTAAAGTGTTGAATTAACGTGTGACTCATAAAATCTAAAGATTTTATTTTATATTTATTATGATAATATGATTAATATAAATTTTTTTTCAAATTATTGTTTATTTTAAATTTTTATTAATATTTTTTTATTCTTAAAAGAAATAGTAATAAATTGAGAAAGAAAAATATATATAAATAATTTTTAAATAATACAATACTCATGGATATATGGGAGATATTTTTTAGTCTATATATTTTCTCTCTCACCAATACAAGATCATAAAGAGGAAAATTACAAAATAGAAAATTAAAGTAATTAGTCAACTTTTCTAACTAAAAGGATAATTAATTTTTATAGGAAAAAGACCAAACAGAAGAAATGAAATAAAATTTTAACACGAACCTGATGAATATAATTTGTAATGGAAAATGAAAGAAACCTTTTTTATGACAATTATGGGGATAGAATATGTTTAAAAAGAGTAATGGTGTATATTTTTTTCTTGTTGTGAGGGACCACAAAAAGAACTTTATAATGGTTCATAAATGCGTAACTACATTCCGATCTACCAAGTAATTAAGATTTATCATCCACGATAGAACACGCCCACCTCAACATTTTGTCCATGTCATTCATAAAATAATAAAAAACAATTCCCATGATTGTGTTGCTGCAACACTCAACAATCAACCACTTACCTAGTTCCATTTCACGAATAATAAAACACTTTTTGTTTATTAAATGTGTTTATAAGATAGAGAGGCTCAATAATTAGAGATGAATGATTAGTGATTTCACTCCTTTCCATTACAAAATTATTGATCTGTAAGATTACCACATGAAGATTAAGAATATACTTCATGTTCTTTTTAATAGTGGAGTTTTTTAGATAAATTTTGTTTATATATATATATATATATATATATATATATATATATATATATGATTTATAAAATTTAAAATTACATTAATTATTTTTTTAATTGTATTCTTATTTTTTTAATTATATTTATTATGAAAAGAAAACAATATTTTAAATAGATAATGTTATTATAAAAAAATACTTATAAATATATTAAAAAAATTAATACTTTTATTGAGTTATATAACTAAATTTTAAATTATGCGTATTAAAAAAAATAGAAAACTTAACTCTTACAATGTAAATGTTGTTATCGTTTGTAATTTTTTTTAATATGTAGTAAATGAAGCATTTCTTATAAATATAAATATATTATTGATTTAGATAAGATATATGTGAAAAAATAATTAATAAAATAAAAATTTACATAAATATGAATAATTTTGTTTTATGATTTAGGTTTGATTTAATTTTAATAAAATAAAAATCAAAACCAAATCAGATTATTTTTTATTATCAATTTATCAAATGTATTATAATAAAATAACTATTTAATAAAAACAATATTATAAAATATAATAAATTTATTTTAATTTCAATTAGCTGAAATTAGGTTTAACCCGATTATTTTGGAAGTCTTAAAAAATAAGGTTTACTAAGTTATAAAAATTTATGGATTTAATTAAATAATATTTATTTTTACTGGACACATAAGTTATGATTTATTTAATTTTAGGTTAAACTAGTTCGTAAATTTATAAATAAATTCCTTTTATAAAATAATACTTTTTTAAATATAAATAATAATAATATTTTATTATATAAATTATAAATTAATTTAAAAATAATTAAGTTAAATTAAAATGAATTATTATTTTAGATATATAAATTATTAAAGAAAATAATAATAATAAAAAAGTAAATTTTTAATTCTTATTTTAAAATTAGATAAATATTTTATAATTTATATATTAAATTATTATATTTAAAATAAAAATTAATTTTATTTATTTTATTTTATTCAAATTTTATTTAAATATTTTAAACTAAATATTTTTAATAAGACAAAAATTGATATAACCTAGAATTAAATTAAGTAAAAAATTATGATCGTTGATATCAATTTATCAATAAACATCATTCCATCTACAATCTTTTTTTATTAATATTATAATCATTAAAAACTTTATTCAAATAAAATGAATTAAAAATTATTATTTTAATAATAAATAAAGTTACAATGAGTGGATTGAAAAGATAAAATTCATAGATTTTTTTAAATATAAATTAAATTAAATTATCAAATTCATTTATAAGATTCTTAGGTTAAACCTGGATATTTATTTTAACAACTCTAATTTTAATAATATATATTATAATTTTAGTTTTATTTAGTTTGGATTAATTTGAATGGGTAAATTAAAAATATTATTAAAATAGCAAAATAAAGTGTCGTTTGCAGTCGATATTTAAAGTTCGACGGTGCGCTCTAGGCAGAAAGCAAATGGGTGTAACAAATATCTTTTAAAAGAATTATACATTTTTTTTAGTTTATAAAATATAATGAGCCTCTCTTAGTTTTCTTTTAATTATTTTATTTTCATCTCTATTGTTTTGTTTTTGTCTCTATTGTTAGATTCTCCTAATTTCACTAAAAAAATTTAACTCATTATTGTCATAATTGTTATCACTTAATAGCTATTAAAAAATTACAAGGATTAAAACAGAAAAAAAAATCAAGTATAGAAAAAAAATAAAAGGATCAAAATAATAACAACTAATAAGTATAGGTAATTTATTATTTATTTATTTATTATCTTCAATCTACCGTATATATATATATATATATATATATATATATTTTTTTTTCTTTCTTAAAAAATATATAAAATAAAGAGATAAAAAATGGGTTCAAACTCTAGTTGCCTAAATAATTGATAGGAAGATTTTAAGATGAATCATCCTTGTAATTAAATTATCTTAGTAAATTTCAATCATTTCATAAACGTATTGAATTATTCAAATATTAAATTGTTATGCAATTGATTTTAAATTCATTAGTTATAATATCAATTCCTTGAATATTAATCAATTAATATTAACAAGCAATTATTTTTAAATATGTTTAATTAAAACTATTCTATTTTATCATTATTTGTAATTAGGCTTTCTGCACAACATTTTAAGTTTAAAAACATATTCCAATGTCAATCAAATTTCACTTAAACTAGTAAATGATGTTTATATGAGTTTGATTCTTGTTAAAGCTAACCTTAAAAAAAATGAAATTAGCTAAAGCAATGGTTAAAACCTCTAACATAATTAGTTTTAGACAACGAAAATCGAAATTTGTAAAGTATGATGATTGGACAATCATGATTAAAAATATGGTTATCAATGTATAAAATCTATGTATGACTAATTAATTAATTAGTGTGATTTTTAAAATAGGTGTGATAAAAATTTAAAAAATTATTATGCAGTATTATTTATAACGGGATCACTATTGCTCACACTTTCTACTCTTTAATCTGAAGCATAAAATTAACAACTTTGTGATATAAAGTTAGTTTAATTGTATGCATTGAGTGGGGACCAATGAAATTGGAAGTATTTGGGTTAAGTTTTATTTGAAATATAATCTAGGAATGGTGTGAATTAAAATTTGAAAAAAGTAAAAACACTAATAATGTATAATAATTTGAACAGAATAGTATTTTAGTCAATTAAAATTATTTTATCATAGAGATTGATGATAGATTGTTGTGTGCGCTTTACCTTAATCAACAAATAAATGATAATGATTGTACTCCTTTATGTAGCCGTTATACAGTTAACAACCCTTCAGCATTGCAAAGAGTAATGCACTGCCTCTTATACTGAGTAAACCATAATAAATTGATTAGTCTATTAAATAATTAATATAATTCACAAGATACATCAGTATAAACCATCTACAGGAGATGATTGGATAAATACATGGTGAGACAATGGATTGGTTTTAAATGACAATCAAAATAACCGAGCCTCTTGAACCAATTAAAGAACTTGGTCTCTCATCACGTAATCAACCACTCACTACTCCAAGTTAGTTACAGAACCTTGCAACTAGTCCATAAGGATTTGATGATCATGCAGATTCATTGGCCCTGACTGGAAGAGAATTTCCGCTTGGCATAAGAGAGACGCCAATTGGGAACTTGGTAGGTCTGATATTAGGCGTATTGATGACACACAACATTTAACTCGGATAAAGTTACTGTCAACCACTTCTGACCAAACTGGATGCAACAGCCACAATTTAATCCATGCCCACAAAAATCTGCAGTACCTAAAGAAGTCAGAATGTTTTCCAAACTTTTGGGTTTGAAGGGCAAAGACCAAGTCAAGTATGATAAAGAAATTTGATATAAGGAACATGTAATCAAACACAATCAATACACATACAGCTTGAACTAACCTCTAAATCAGGAAGTGGTTCATACGATTTCATCTCCCTAGTATCAAAAACTGTAAGACCCGAAATTCTCTGAATTCCAGGTTTTGTAGCTATGAGATTCTGCATATTTTAAAGAGTAGTGAGATTAATCCATGCCATACACTGAATTTAATTTAACACTTTCTTCTTCTTCTTTATATTATCGTTCATCACAGCTTTTTTATCACTACTTTTTATTGGAAGATAGTAAAATGCATACCATGCAATGCATTGCAATTTGTAACGTTTCTTTTTCTTCGTAATATTTTCAACTTCTACGTGTCTTTTGTTACATAAATGAGGCCTAGATAGATATGTTAGTTATTAAGCAATAGCCGAAGCTGATAACGATAGTAAGAAATATTGAAAAGGGATTGTTTCATTAAATTATCTACCTACTAATCTCGGAGAGAAATCAGTATCCAAAGAATTATCAAATTTCATATAGAAAAACAAAACGCGAAACAGGCCTGATCCCCATATTTTATAGACCCAAACAAAATAATACATAAAAGTCCCTAATATATGAATATTTTAAGATATAAATAAATATTTCATAATGATATATTTTATTATAATTAATATATTTTTTCTACTCGTAGATATAGACAAACACAAAATATTACATGTGAATAAAGGTTTAATCATTTTCTGAAAGTTGAAATTTTGTTAATTTAAATGACTGGATAAGTTGAAAATTGAAAATTGAAAATTGTACGAGTATCGGAAAACCCAAGAAGATGAGGTTAAAGCTAAAGCATCATTACCAAATAAATTATATTTCTTTTTTTCTGCACATTAAACTCTCTTCAACCATGAGCCTGGGGCGGTTGTACCATAAACCCCCTTCTCAGGCTGGCCCTCACTCAACCAAATGAAAATGGTTGGCAGACTCTTTGAGGGGTCTGGTACCTATCTTCCCGCTCAGAAATTCCCCACTTTCATCATGACCTAATCCCTTGCTAACTGAATGTTTTCCCAACTAATCCTGTCCCATTCGCCATGTTTTCAAAATGTAGGTAAGCTTACTCTTTCTCATGTTTCCCACACTTACCCCATGAAGGTCTATTCCCATGATACACCCTTGCGATGGGCTCAGATAATAATAACACTTGGTCCCCATTTGAAAGAGAAAGACAGAAACTACAACTAACATTGAGCTGGAGCTCTGGAGGATATACTTCAATCATTATTATATAATATGGGAGTGTCTCATAATCAATGATAGCCAAAAAGTACATAGGCATCTCCAGGCTCAAACCTTTCCACGGACACATATATATGCACCTTTTGTTGCATAAACCAGTTTCGTGGTTTGACAGTAACTTGTCCACAAAACTGTGGCAGTCACAATAATAACAGTTTGGGAGAAAATAAAAGATTTTATCATATGTGAAGAAAGCTGATGGTGATAAATGAATGACTGGCGTTAGTAAGTAGGATAGGAACTGACTAAATGTTGTTATGTAATATGATTACAGAATTTCGATTTTACTACCAAAAATATCTGATAAAATACTAAACAAGAATTCTTAAGATCATACCAGGTTGAAATTTGTTGATCCTAAAGCCTGAACCTGAGATAAAACCTGTACATAGTTTCCAACATCATGTCAGTTAACGGTAAGCAAAATTCAATCACTAGAATTGTGCACAATGGCAATATAAAAGGGCACCATGTACCAGGGAAAAAATATTGACAATCTAAGACAGAAAATTCAGATAAAATGTATTACAATTGATTGAAGGCCATTAATGATAACTACTCTCTCCCCATATGAACCATTTTGAGATAAGCTAACTTCAAATGGACCCAGCTCTTTATCAGTCTGATTCATAAGATTCAGTTTTATCTGCAAACAACACACAAAAACTTTAGCTTCCAAATTTTCGTTTGTCTTGGCTCGCACAATAAACTTAAGGATTAAAAGTAAAACGAAATTTGAAATAGCTATCCCTATTCCCTGAGCTAGTGAATAACTCTACCAACAACTGCTAGCCCGATACATAGGATGTAAAATGACCCAATGCCCAGAAGAAACCTAGACTATTAAAAAATGCAGATTCTAGTATATAATGAACATAAGACCTGTGTAAGATAAGAGAAATTACCATAAACGGTTTTTGAAGGTTAATTATAGATGGAACCTCTAAAATTTGCAATTCAATCTCCTTCTTTGTTGCTGGCTGCAAAGAAAAATTTCCAGACAAAATACTGGTGTTTGAGAAAATTAAATTATCATATGTCCAAAACTGAAGGAAAACCGTTAAGCATGAAACTTAAAAGCATAATTCTGAAAAATGAAGGGAAAGCATAATTTATTTAGAAAACTAAATAACAATAATTTAAAAGCATTCAATTTAGTAAGTTAACAATTTAGCATGCATCCAGCAGTATATGAACACTAAAATATTACATCAATCATTATTTTGAAAAGTGAGAGGGAGAAAGTAAACATGTCAAGCTAGATTCATATGCATGTTATGCAGAAACAAAGAAGTTCAGTCATCAACTTTGTCATGTTTAGTGATATTTAACCTAAATCAAACCAGATAACTAATTCATCTATTAACTATCATTATTGAAGAAACAACACTTACAGTCCCCAATATTTGCTGGGTTTGCAGGCGACCGGGTTCACCCAAATTTGTTCTCCACGTTATCTGGAGTTTACCAAGAACATTACTTCCTTCAACTTTTGATTGAGCCATACCATCTGATGGCGTTTTCAATTGATAGAGATAGTTGTAAATTCCTCCACCAGATCTAATTAGTATTGGTGGCTTAAATGTCTCCCTGAAAATTTAATTTGCTATAATCAATAGCAATAATAATCAAATGTACTTACACAAGATGAACTAAAGTAATAACTGGAAATAATGGCCAAATTTTGGTATTTGTTGAATTCTTGTCTGCTTCATTTCAAAAGAAGTGCTATGGCACTGACCTTGTAGAGCTATCTTTCTCAGAATGGTGCCCATCACCTTTAAGTATTGTTGCACTATAATGCTGAGCAGGTTCAAAATCAACTTGGTCCATGAAAAGGTTTGATTTCGTATGGTTTTCAATACAAGCTTCCAAAAAGGTAGTTTCCTGAAACAGATGAAGTAGATAACTTGATGCACAATATTAGGTACTGGTGGGTACTTCAGTTTGTAGAGCTGATATTATTTCCATAAAGCCTTAAACTGAATTTGAGGATAAGACATTTCTTCCACCTGAATACTGATAGCAAACAAATTGTGACAGTTACATATGTCTAAAATCGGAGATAGCTTAACATGTCAAAGCTACAGAAAAGGGGGGGCAAGGCTAGTTAATATTTTCAAGCATAAAGGTTAAAGAACTTGGAAGGTGTTTGGTTATTTCCATTCTCATTTTTTTTTACTATGTGTTCATTGATAATTTAAAAAATGTCACCTGTTTTCATTTTATATCCTATTTTCAACAATCTGCGGGAATGTATATTTTACCATTCCTTCACAATTTTTTTAAACCATAAAACAAAACAAAGGTGGCAGTTTTTTTGTAATTGTTGATAAAAATACATAATATTAAAAAAATAAAAACAAAACCAACTCTCCAATATTAGAAAAAAGACAAGTGATGATTGGACAGCAATCCAGTATTGAGGATTTAGAACTGTGACAGCCTGAACAGCAAACGAACGTACAAAGTATGTTCAAGTAATTTCAGGAGTTAGAAGTACTTCTAATACTTCACTGAAGCATATCTAATAATCAAACTAGATGTGGATTTTTTATATAAAATGATAAAAGATTTTCTAACACCAGATCTATTATGTATCATTGTTCTTCAAGAAAGCGCACAATAGGATTGCTAGATTCCTTGCTCCCCTTATTTGATTATACATTCACAAAGAGAGACAAAAATTATTTGCTATAACCAAGAGTAATGTAATGATTCAGCATGGTTTTTCTAAAAAGTAAAGGAGATACTTTAAATAGATATGAAACTGTAGATAACAAACTCATGGTGTTTTATGATTGGCTATATAGGATTCAATGCTCATAGCATCTAATAAAAATGATAAATAGGACAGGCAATAAACTACAAAATTGATTGTTTAAAAGAGGATAAAAATGAAATGACAAGACACAGATTTTATACACATTCCTTATTGTCTATCAAGAAAACCTTCCATTTCTTTTGATTGATTCTTAATTTCTTACTGACATTAAGAGCATTGGATAACAATGTGATTGAAACACACCCAAAATTAAAAAGGAAATTATCTGTAATGCCATTGAGGATTTTATTGTTTGTTTTAATACTAATGAGTTTTAAAAACAAAAGTTTTATTATGCATTCCTTACATGGACAAGCAAGTAATATTGATCCCAATATTTTAAATGGTGTAATCAGAAAATTGAACATTAACAAAATAATACTACACATTGAACATGATTAGATTTTTTTTTACCACATTAAAACCAGCATGTTTTATCTAGAAAAAAAAATATCACTTACACTTGAATAGTATATTCAAATCACTGACATACCTTGATAACACGGACCTGCAAAAAGGTTTTCAACATGCATGTAAGTTATACAAATATTGAAAGATCAATTAGTGAACATAGATAACCCAGGTACTCGATAATTGTTTTATTTGAGAACATAATTCCCTTCAAATTCAATAAACATCATTAAAAAAGAGAATAATACCTTTGTCCTAACGGAAAGTGGATTAGCAACGATGAACTTGAAAAATTGAGGAAGATATTTCCGCTCGCCATCACCATCATTATACAATGCAGTGCAGACAAGCCTAAGGGCATTTGTGCAATCAAAATTGTAAAAAGTTAAAAATGAGAAAGAAGAAACATAGTAAATCCCAATAAAACTGCATGCAAGTATGAACATGATGACACAAGGACATGGACAATCACAACTTACGTGTGAGGCCCAAGCTCTTTCACATCATGTTCTACAATAAAATCATATCGTCCACCAGCACGGATCGATTCAACTGGTGATTTTGATGTGTCTAGAAGAAGTATTCTCTGTCTCTCTGTTTGAATTTCAGCCTGTCAGTTACAAAATTTTGAATATTTGGTTAAATTAAATTCTCAAAGGAACAAATTCCGCACTGACTATTATGGATACATTTACATTTTTGGGCTCAAATTCATTTACAACACTTGTAAAAGAATCTTCTATGTATCTATCTATCCAATATAAATAACTTAAAACAAAAGTGAACATGCTATCCAGAAATTAACAAAAACTCTGCAGCAAATCAATCTCTCATAAACATATACATGCCTATCAGCCCCGAACAATTACCAATGGACCATTCCCACGAAACCTCAATGAAGGTTCTCTGAAATGTAAAACATTTCAAAGGAAGGTGTAGGAGATGCACAAGGGGAAGCTGGTGATTCTAGAAACAAGGTTAAAAGAAAATGAGTCTCAAATGTTGGTCAGATGGATCCAATGTAATTAAGAATAAAGAGTTTTGAACAGCTTTTAACAGAAGACAAAATTTCTTCATGTAAATAATCTCAAGCTAACTAAAAAAGTAGAAACGTGAGTTTGGGTTTGGAATAGGGCCTGATGTAAACATTGAGTGAGTAAAAGAATCGTCTAGTTAATACAAATGACTAAAAACATAAATCACTCATACACATGGCTGTTGGCCCCAAAATATAACCAAAGAATGATTTTCCTCATGACATCACAGAAGGAAAGGATCTCCAAAAGTATTCCATGGGAAAGTATCATCAGTAGAGAATGTACAAAGACCATTTCAGACTCAAAAAGGTAAAACAGTCATGTATCGCAAAGTCTTCCCATAATGATATCTATAGAGGAGGACTAAGAGAGTTTTGTGCCGTTATCTGTAGAGAGTCCATTTATATAATATCAGCCAATCAAACAGAGTAACTAGGGTTTGCAACTAGACAAGAGCTAAACAAAACATGGAGTGATTCTCACGAAACACTATCAGCAAGTATTATACAAAGATTCAATCTCCTTTCGACCTTCATTTAAATGCGCTTACTAATTTCCTAAATATGCATAACTAACATTAAAACTTGTGCCAAGGGGGTTCCAGTAATCACAGGGGGTGACAAATTGATTCATGAATGGCAGTTGAGTGGAGGAATTGAAGATATAGAAAGAAGACCTTGATAATGACTTCTCTGACTTCAAAATTTGAGCTGTTGTTAATACTAATGTAGCTGCAGAAAGTCTCTCCCAAATAAATGGCTCTGCAAATTGAAAGTATAAATATGAATGAGTGAGCAATGAAAGGATCGAACTGAATTAAAGAGAGAGAGAGAGAGAGAGAGAGTAATACCCGAATGACTGAGGGAGAACGAGGAGGCCAGAGAGGCCCATGGCATCGGAGAAGTGGTGGAGGAGGAAGCGGTTGCGGTAGGTTGGATCGGAGTCGTCGTTGGCGGCGGCAGAAAGAGAGAGGGCGGGGGAAGCGGAGGGGTCGTCGAAGAGGTCCTCACCGACGAAAAGGTCGGCGGGGTCTAGACGGAGGGGAGGGTCGACGTTAAAGGAAGGGCGGCAGAGACGCATCACACGAAAGGCGAGGGAGTGAGATCCTCCTCCCTGGCCCTGGGCCTGACCCTGACCCTGACCCTGACTCATCTCTTCTTCTTCTCCTTCCTCTTCTTCTTCTTCTTCTTCTTCTTCTTCTTCTTCTGCTTCTTCTTCACTTCCAAATGCAAAAGCAAATGCAGATAGAATCTTCACTTCAATTCAACGATTTATTAAATTTTAATTCAAAGGCTTCTTTCTAATCAGATCACAACTTCTCAACACAGCTATTAACTCCGCTCCATGCTATGTTGGGGTCACCCTTTCCCTTCTCTCACACTCTCACTCACACTATGCAATTCTAATCAAAATTATTTATACCTTTTTTCTAATGAAAATATACTTTTCTAAAAAAAAGTTAAATATATTTTTTACCATATTAAATTATCAAATTTTATATTTGTCCCTCATATTAAATAGTTTTTCTTAATATTTCTATTTCTAAAAATTCCTTAGATAATATTTAAAACAGTGAAACAAAGTAATTTAAGTAAGGTTTTTCGAGAAAAAAAAATCGATAATATATCTAGAACTAAAACATATTTAAACAAAAGTTATATTAATTTATTTTAAAGTAAAAATTTATAGAAAGAAATACAAGCAAGGTGCACTGAGAAAGCATAGGAAAATAAAAGAGGAGCATGAAAGAATTGAAGAAACATCCAGTAAATATATGAAACATAAAATATAGTTAAATTATAAAACAACTTTTGAAAGATATAATGATATATATTTATTAATTGATAATTAATTCTAAACATATTTAAACATAATAATATAGCCAACCATTCAGAAATGAAAACCAATGAAGATGGAGCTGATTCTCTGTTGAATAAAACAGTGAATGGTAAACTTGGTATTTTAAAAAATATGGAGGTGGAGGGGGAAATATGTGGGGTGCAAAATGTAAAAGCCTAAGAAATGTTTATACGTGCTGTCCTATTATTCCATCTACTATTTTTTTAAAACATGAATTTGAGTTCAATAAACAAAAGCAGATGTATTTTGTGTGGAAGTGAACTAACTTTTACGAAGTAGTGTTTTTTTTTTTTTCTGAAATTAAAACAAGTGACCTAAACCCATTTTTTGTGGTTATTTATGAAAGAACAAATATGGATAATTCATGTCAGCAATTAATTTTCAATAATTGAATCGGTCATAGAATAAAACATGGGCTCAAGTTGAAACACAGTTACAACCAAATTTAATAAAATAATATGTATATAATATAATAAATATATAATAAATTTATTAATAGTAATATTTAAAAAATTATTATTATAATTACAATAAAATATGAAAATTATAAATATAAAATATATTAAATATTTTAAAATAAATAATTATTAAAATAAGATAAGAGAATTCTGAGATGAAAAATGTAAGACATACTTACTCATGTAAGGAGAGACAATAAAAATTATATACTTCTCAAAATATTCTATCTTGAAATATTACAAATCTGCTTATTTATAAATACATTATATAAATAAATTTGAAAACTTTATTAAATTAAATTGAAATTTGAACTTAAAAATATCATACAAACTTATTAACAAGATAAAATAAGATAACCTATCTTTGATACATTGAATCAGATCTAATTGAATTAGAATAATTCATTTGTTATACTCCCCTCCTTGTCATATTGTGAATCTTAGTAAAATTAATATAATTTATAAAATAAAATAAAAAATAAAAAATAAAAAATATATATTATATATTATATCTTTTATAAAAAAACTTTGATCTTAATTTTTTTTATTAAACTGGTCTGACTTAAAAACTTAATTTTATTAATTTTATTAATTTTGTCCCAATTCAATTAAAATCCAAAACGATTTTTAGTAGAAATCCATATTCAACTAGTTGAACGATTCAATCCGATTTTCGAAAGAGAGATAAATTGTGAGAAGTGGTAATTATTAATCATGTATAAGATTAAAATATAAGAACAACCCAACTATATATTAAAAATAGGTGTCAATTAAATTTATTAAAACAATCTTAATAATAATAGCCTACCATCACTCACCATAATCCTCTCTAGATGTCATGTAAATAGAGCCTCAACTAGAAATATACAACCCCAAAAACATAAAAATTGCAATTTTTTTAAAATTTGTAATTTCCATTTCATACAACAAGAATTCCCATTGTTACATTTCTCGGAGAAAGAAATAAAATTAAACATTCAGCCACAGGTCAAACAAAAAATAATATGGAAAATTTCCCTACAAAAGGTTGGTACTCAATTTTGAACAACGTTAGAAAAGGGAAACATGTTCGGGTTGTTCAGGAGGGAAGAAGTTGAAGGTTGGGATGGCAAAAAGGTTTAGGAGGCCCCTAAGGACTACAAAAATTTCAGACTACATGTAGATCAGTCCAGTACATTGAATTGTATATTCTTTTGATGCACTCCGATAATATAATAAAACAAAATGTTTGATCCATCTCCAAGGATCATGAGAAGATAACTATGCTAATCTAACTATTACATGGCTGGTGTTGGGGAGATGGACAAACTGCTCTACCTGTTCACTAAGGTCAAGGATGTCACTGTGAGCATCATCTACAACATACAACTAAACAAGTGAAGAGAGTTGAAGAAATTTATGCAGTGACAGCTAATATAGGCTCCTAATCTTTGATTCATCATCAGCAACTTCTCACTCATTCTTACAGCCAAGGCATCCACATCAGCATGCATGAAACAACTAGCAGATTTTACATTGGATTGACAATCTGCATTATCAAATGAATAGTTTATAAAAAGCCATATCATTTGGTTAGGGTCAAGTTGCAAGAAAATAATTCCTTGTATGCAAAAAAAAAAAAAAAAAAAAAAAGAGAAGTTGATAAAAAAAAGGAAATATAAGTACAAAGAAAAAATGAGGAGAATAGACCAAATCACTTTTAGCCATATATGAAAAAAGGCATAGGGAGAGTAAGAAAACATGAGGAAATTATTAAGAGAGATCTTCTAACAAATAAATCCATAAAAACTAGGTTTTAAAGTGAATGCCAAGGTAATCGTATGATCCATGTGGTCAACTTCTCTAAGTGAGATCAAGGTCATTATTGTTGTTGTCTAACAGTTTTTCATAAAGTGGGAATTTTTTCTTAAAAGAAAAGGGCAGAATTCCAATGCATTCATGATGGGATGCACTTTAGTGATTTGAAAAAGTACGCAAGTGTAAAGGAGATATTACATACCTGCAAGGACTTAACTATAAACACTCCATGGATAATTTAACACCTACTGTTTGTGAAGTGTTTGACAGTAAATGACCCCAAAAGAAGTGAGATCTGAAATTGATTCCCAAAATATTGAAAACCAGCTGAGTGATCAGACAGAAAACAACTCAAGTCCAAGATAGTATGGTCACCAATGATAACAAATGCTGACAACCACCTTGTCAAGCAAATCTACGCCTTTCTTCCTGTACAACTCCAGTCAGCATTCTATCTGATTCATTTCATAGTTAGCCATAAATATATCCATTTCCTCAAAGTGAAACTCACATTATTGTAACATATACAGCCATTTATACAACCCGAGCCCATGTTCCACCACACATTGGACAGCCATGTACCCAGCGGCTGATCCACCAAACTTCCCGATCATTTGGACTAAGAGAAGGAGTAGCATCTGGTGAAGCAAACGCAGAGGTCTGCCGCTGACATCTCACACACTGCACCACAGAAGTAAACAAAATCATAAATAGAAGATGAGTTATGCAGTCAAATTAAAAATTTGCCATCAAGTTGTGAAGTTTTCACAAGGTAACAGTCTCTGAAGTTCAGTAACCAAGTTATAGAGTTTAACCATACTGTCCCAACACAGAAGAAAACTGTTTTGGTTTTCTGTAAATGGTAGAGCTGAGCTTACATGTCATCCGCATTTTATGTAGAGTTTCCTTAAGATAAGAATTAGTTAGGGATATAGATATCAGATAGACTTTGGTTGTGACTTGATTCATCAGAATTATTTTTTTAAACCTATAAGAACATGTAACATATCCATGTTTAACTAAAGAATACTTATTTCTTTCTCAAAAAGGCTAGCAACAAACTTTTGACCATACTCTTTACTAGTAACCAAAATTTATTGAAAAATACAAAAATTGTGGGTTTCACATCTTACTTCATGAGTTCCACTCATGATTTTGTAACTTCAAATAAATTTTAACCGATAGGGAAGAGTGTGTTGCTGGCAATTTTCTTTCCCTTAGTCTATCCATTCAAAGTGTAATGAAGCATAGAAGCATAATACTTAGCATTTGTGTGTGTCAGAGAGACACAAGAATATTTTCAAGAGAATTTAGAGGATGAAAAGAAGCATTTTATTCTTGTATAATGTATAAGGATTCTGCATATTATCCATATTTGTAGAGTTGATAGATAGACTTAGTGGAGACCACTCCCTAGGATTATGATAAGCATTGCAACTTCCTAGGCATTAATACGCTTGAACATTAAATGCATTTTAGCATGGGATGTATGAACAACACACTTCTTAGAGTAATGAGCGCTCAATCATTTAATGCAATAATCAGTTTAAATTCCTTAATTGCTCGTAGGTTTAGAAGTTTTCTTGGGCCACCATAAAGCACAAATCACCCAAATAACCAGCATTTCTAGATACCTTTTACATGTATATAGAGAAACAAAATATACAAATGATCAAGATTTCTTTTCCAACCTTGTACCAGACGCCTTCAAGGCCAGTCTTCCACGTTGCAGTAACAACATCTCTTCGTGATCCCATTATACCAAGATAACCTCCCAAGCCCACAGAAGTGTTCAAACCAAAAGCCGCATCTCTTTCAGACATCCTGCGCTTCCTAGGCCACAAGCGCTGAGTTCCATAATAAACATCACAATGCTCCAATGAGCTGAAATCAAGTGGGTCAGAATTAACAAGTTTAGGTGCATCAATTGCACAATCTACATCCTCCTGATCGGACCAAGGTCCACCAAACATATTCCGTCTATGCCACTCTTCTGCTGGAGGGTGCAGTTCTAGTTCTCGTAGAAGAAGACCAGCAGCATCTGCACCTCTAGGACGGGGCATATTCTGCAAATTATATTTTTTTGGGAGGGAGCATTCACAAAAAGGTTACACATGCAATAGATATAAAAATAGATCAACATATAAACAAATTAACTTCCACTAATCAACGGTTCCTACATACTCTAACAATGTGTCGTACCACTAAATCAGTTATAATTTTTACTGTATAAAGGAATCCTCATGTAAAAAAAAGGTAGCCGAGCTATTTTTCAGCCCAACTTAATTATTAACTGTCATATCGTAAAAAAAAAATCCATTACTAAGTAGTGTTAAAAGGATTAGCTACAAAACAGGTCACAGGATGGTAGCACTCTAATACAATGCTGAGAAGAAAGAGGCTGATAAGGAATATAATGAATTTCTTAACACATGAGTATTCATATTTTTATTTAAGAAGAGATACAATAATAAGAAACAAAATTAATATCTAATAATGGAAAATAGTGGGTGAGATATTTCCCTATCAATCATATCCTATTTAATGTAATCAAATCAAATCTAACATAATCAAATTATATCTCTAACAAGTAGCATAAAAAGTATGAGGTTATTTCATTAACTATCAAGAATAACTGGCTTTATTTGTCTCAGAAATAAGAAATTTAAAAGGGACAGAAAACCATGATGTTACCTGCATATGTGGACCAAGGGATGCTTCCACAACCTCTGGCAGTACAGTATAGTTTCCATCAATATAGTGCAGCCGAACCTGAATGTTGTTGCTCCCCACTTGAGAGACTGGCAATGGGTGTTGCAGCGCAGCTGTTCGGCGGCATAGATCCATAAGCATCATAAAAAGAACCTTGACCTGCATAGTACACACACGAGAAAGGTAAAATAACAGCCTATTAGCTATCTGCATAAGAAAAAAATGGAATTTTCATTGTGTAAGACACAAATTACACACATAAAAAAAAAGGGTACAAACAGCAATGTTTATTAATGTATACCTCTTCAAACGTATATCCCTGGCCAGCATTCCCACTACCCAATCTTGAACGACCTGAAGGTACTTCTTCAACTCCCTTTGCCCCGGCTCGGCCAGTCTGACCATCATCAGACTTAATCACAGCTGAAACTGGTTTTGCAATCTCCTCCACCTTACCAGGGGCAGCAGTATTAGATAGAGGCTTCTGTGTATTTGTATCAGAAGTTCTATTTGCAAGCCCCATATAGCGAGGAAGTTGTGTTCGTCGAAAGAAAAAGCAGAAGAGCAAAAGTTGGCATAGTCTGTGAAGGAAATGACAATCCCCAATAAGTCTAACTGCTGGTGTTCCAGGAAATGTTCCTGTATTGATGCTAATAGGCATAAATGTTGAAGGACCACTTATGGGATTAGGAGTTGGATTGGACCCTCCATCAGTTGTGTTGCTAATCTTGGCAATAGCCCCTTGCACCCAGGTTTGCAACTGAGCACTTCCCATAGAGCTGCTAGTCCCATTTTGACCTCCTGATATATTTTATTTATTTCAGTTTCATATGTAAATTGTAAAACAAAAAATTGATCAAGCTAGAGGTAACTTTTTTTAGAGAATTTCAGGGTAGGATGGTTGATCCCCCCCCCCCCCCTTATTTCTTTTCTCTTCAATATTTCCAAGATGCTGCATATGATTGATATAAGTTCTAAAGCTAACCCAGTTAGATTTGCAACTTGTATAGTGGTGCAATAGCATTCTTTCTTTTGATTAAAATATAAAAATGGATAAGTGTTTTTGCCTTGTTTATCATCTTAGATCAAATTAATACATTGGAAATAGTTCATATGCTCTCCCCATAAACTCACACTTCTAAAGTAGATCCACAATTTCACACGATTGAACTAACTTAAAATACATAAGTATGGATCTATACATTCGTTTCAGTTAATTGAATTGCAGTAAGAATAGGTTACTCCAAATACATCGACCAGAGCATTCTTGACATGCCAAAATCCCAAAGGGTTGAGCAAACACAACCAAGAGGGTTGCCTAAATGTTCTTTTTCCCCCTCTCCATTAACAGGCATCTGAGTGTCACAAGATATCCATATGGAGGCACATTAACTATACAAAAGAAAACTTTATCATACGAAGGTTTAAATCATTATTATTGATCCTTGTACTTTTTTGTGAATTTTTAAATTTGTTTGAAATAGGAGCATTCAACGATTAAGAAGTAGCTTAGCTATTGTGTGTGGATAAGTTCTAATATAGGAAATAGTGATATTTTAAATGTTATAAATAGTAGTTAATATCTTTGTAATTGTTTTTATCATATACAGATAACCTGCTGAGTGGTATTTACTCACTCAAAAAGATTTCAGAAAATAAAATATTTGTTTCTCTCTTTTCCAAAAGTTTAAAAACTATTAGTCCCTATAGTTTTAAAACTATCAGAGGATGGGCTAAACACTAAGAATAATAAACCTACAGGAGTGCATTCATAGTTTTTAAATTATGAGGACCAATTTTAGAATTCATAAATACAAATGGATCTGCAGATCAGTTAAAGCACCAAAAATTATCATTTGATTAGTGCACACTGACCCTGACTTGTTGCAGGTGTTGCTGAACTTTGGGTAGGACTAGCAACCATATTGCGGTTGTTTCCAGTGCCTGCAGTCACAGCATGACTTGCCAATGTACGACAGAAACTTGCATAACGTCTCAATCGAGTAATAAAATGTGAAGCCAAATCTAGAACTGAATCCACATAAGCCTGCAAAGGTTGAAACAATTAAGAAAAAGGGATATGTAGAAATAAAAACAAACAAACAAATGTATAAAAATATCAAGAATAACATATGAAAGAAGAGCATGACAAAGAAAAGCATCTAGGCGATTTAACAGTACACATACACAGTCAAATAGGTTGGCAATCATCTTTATGTACAAGAAGCATAATTATATGCAAGCATTTGTGCTCCTGTGTGACAACATAAGTGAACAATAGCATGTTATAGCTGCAACCAAGGTTTTCAGACTCGAGAGTGTACGTAGACTCGTGGAAGGTCCGCATACTCGACTCGTACACTTGTAAGAGTCTACTTCATATATAAAAATACCAATTTAACAAAAAGTATAAGCATGATGATATCAATGCCATATTACTAAAATTAATAGGTTTAGAATCATATCTAGTTCCATCTAAAAATTCCTCCATTGAATATTTTTGAGCAATAATTACATTTCATTTTTTTTTCCATTGCCCAAAACATCTATTCCATATTTTCACCCAATATATGTTTTATTTCCTAGTGCATTTTTACTTCTAGGTTGAAGTGAGGATATAACTACATTGTCTTCAGAAGAATTTTAACTCAGACATTTTCAAATTTCAATCTTTATATCTAAAATAACCAATAAAATAAAATAAAAATAAAAATAATTCAACCTCTGTGTAGCAAAATAACTAAACTAAAAAAATTAATTAAAAAACCCTAAAATCCCTAAGAAGAATAACCTAAAATACCAAATCTCAATCAAAATTGTTTGTGCAGCTGTGGACCAACAAGTCACCGTCGACCAACCAGAGTAACGGCAAACGGCAAAAGCAGTGCGACCAGCAGTGAGCAAAACAACCAGCGGCAAGTAACGTGATCAACAAGCAGTGCGACCAACGACGAGACCGTTAGCGACTTCAGCAGCGACCAACCCATGACCAGTGACCAACGCGAAACAGTGCGACCGCGGCCAATGACCAGCTACAACAACGATCAACAGAGTGTAGCAGCGACGATGACTAGCGGAGTACAATGACGAGTGTGAGATCTAACCTTCAAAGGTGAGAAAGGATGAGGAGTGCAAGTAGTGAGAAGAGATTGAACTTGTGTTTCTTTTGCTTTGAACTCAATGTATTGCAAGTTTGATAACCATGTCTGCAACAGAACCGATGCAGTAAGCTTCTTGTGGGTGGCCATAACAGATTGATTGATAGGCAGAAATCAGACAATTAGCAATATTGCAGTAGACATTAAATCCATGTTCAGCTACTCCTTATTACTCATAAGATTTTTGGGGTAATTTTTTAAATTTTCATTAATTTTCTCACATCGAAATGAAGATGAAATCCAAGCCTCCTTTATTCTTCAATTAGTGATGTACATGGTTACTGCTTTCTTCCATTGAACCAACCATCAACAGGAAATGCATTGTCCAGTAAAGGCCATGCTTTTCCAACAGCATAACACAACCTATGTTGTGTCTGCTCTCTTAAGACTCCACTGTAATAGTTCAAACTGTAAGGTAGGTCTGACCTTTTTTGCTGCAGCTCCTTCCATGATTCCATTTAATGGTTCAACCATAAAACTGTATTGTGTTAGTAGAGAACAGAGAAGAGGAGCATGTAACTGATGGGGAGGATCCTATTATGCAGGGTCATAACAAATGACACATGGCCGCAGGAGAGGGAGAAGGGAGATATAAGAATCAAAAGTGGTGGGCAAGAATATGCTAGCGGAGGGGGAATGTGGGAGGGTAATCAATGTCTTGAGAATTGTTGGATGGCTGTTGCCACAGGGTAGAATTTTCTTGAATTTTCCCTTCTCATTTATGTTTATTCACTACATTTTATACTATTTCTATGCTGCAATCATGGCCAGTTCCTAAAACATCAGTTCCTATCACCATCCTTTTTGTTTTCTTCGATACATCCTCTGTTCTAGTTCTTCTTCTTGCCGCTGATAATTTCAACTCCTCATTGGTGCTACTATGGCATTATCTACAGTCACAATAACCCAACAGAGCACCTCCTTGGTCACAGCCTCTGCTTCAGTTACTTCTCATGATCATTGACTAGGTTATTGTATGTCTAGACTATGATTTTTTTATCATCAATGATGATACACCTGTAATTTTTTGCTATTTTTTGGGTTTATAAGAATTCATAATGTGTTGTGCAAATTGTATATCCTACTAGCATCTTTAAGGTTGGGCATTCAGTACCATTGTCCAGAATTGACAAGTCTATGGCAAAGACCAAACATAGCAAAGATGAGATGTATACAACAAACAAGAGAACCGAACAAAATTACATATTATATATTCTAATTAAGCAAATTCCAAGTTGTAACTAAAGCATACCTGAATACTAGGAATTAGTGCAGGTTCAACAGCCATTGTTTCAGGGTCAATGCTGGATAATGTTTCACCTGATGCTTGCCACGGCTCAGGAACTAAAGCTGATGAATTTATCAATGCAGACTCAATTCCTTTCCCAAGCATATCCAATAACAACCTAGCTTGCATATCCAGAACCATCGCCCTTACCTCTTGGGCATTTGACCCTTCCAATAGCCTACACTTTATCCTGTCTAGACTCTGCAATCATAGAACCAAGTTCATTTAGCCAAATACACAGATACTATCACATGCCAGCCAGAAAGTACAAGAATAAAGAGAAGGAATACAAAAGAGTCAACATTGTTTAGATTATAAAAATAATAATAATTCTCCCATATTAAAGACACATTAAAAAGGGTGGTGCAAATTTGGTTGAAAAGTGATCCATAGCAAATTTATAGGCAGCTTTTAAAAATCATTTTCAGGTTAATATCCACATGGCCAATCAAAATTTCAAATATATGGCAGTGAACCAACCTAAGATCAAATGTTAATTATGAAAGTTTCAAAACCAGCACGTTCACATTGACAAGTTATCAATTATAATCTTCGCACATAAAGGTTATGCCTAATGATAGAAGTCAAAGTTTCCACATGAAATACAAAATTGCCACTACCAAACATTTGCTGCTGGGTCTGAAATTCCATATATGTTGTACCCAGAAACATTCCACTAACAGTTAATGTGTAACAATTTCTCTCCCACCAGAGTCAACTGGAAAAGAATGAAACCCCACTGAAGCTAAAAATGAGAAAGTTGAATTCAACTATAAAAACCAATGACAAAAATGTTGAAGAGTAGATGGTTCAACAGTAACATACAGGACCATACTGTTGCCTGTGCTGAATAGAAGGGAGAGAATGGAAATCCGCATCCAAAACCGCAATAACACTGTTAAGTGAAACTGAAACCAGGTATAAAAAGTGTCACTTGCTAACAGAGTATAAATATGAAACAGTAAATTAATTCTCCTTTCACTTGCACAAACTTCAATAAAAAAACATAGCCAAAGGCTTGACAACAACAACTGCCTTACCAATGCCATCCTCAGCAGCACTCTGGGTGCAGCCCACGGCATCCCACCAATCAACACCAACTAAAAGGCTCCACCAAAACCTGTTTTCCTAACAGATGTTAGCAACAGGCAACAATGTAGACACAGTAGACATCATACATTAGAAGATATTAAGGAAAGCACCTTTCAGCAATTGCACGTTCCCAAGTTGATGAATTGGCTTTTACTTGACTGATGGGAATAGAAGGAGGGAGAACTCGAATTATTCTCAATATTGTAAAATTTTTGCTAGAATCATGCCAAACAGAAGCTGAACAGCAGCTTGTTGAAGAAAAAGCGGGAGCAGCAATTGCAGAGCCAACATTAATCTGATAGTTGTCTACAGGTGAAAAATTTGGACCAGAAAAGACATGGACACCACCTCGAAGAAAAGCAATAGCAATTTCACCACCATGAGCAGAGTAAACAACACGGGCAAGTGTCCTGACATCGCTTGGAAGATCAAATGGATCAAAATTGACCCTTTTTGATTTATCAGAAACAGACTCGGATACCTTTTGCACATCAGAAGTCATTCCAATTGCAGGTGATTGATGGTTCTTGAAATCATTTGTTGGAGTTATGCTCAGGTCCACTTTGGACTGCCAAACAGTTTGCATAGGTGATTGACCACCCATACTAGAAGTAGGGTTTCCAAATATAGGATGGAGAACAACATGCTGTAAAGATGATTCCCAACGTTGCACTCTCCATCCTGTAATTGATGGGCCCTCATCTGGATCATAAGGGGACATATATTGTCCTGTACATGTAAAATCAGCTATACATCAATTTTTTAGTTCAATTATCTGAGAAGCACATAAAACCTGCCCTCCTGACAAACTATCAAAGCAAGTATTGTCACAACATAGAGGACCAAGAAGGTAAGATAGGAACAGGGTGCTTCTATTTTAGTGGATCTTAACTAATCTTGCCCAAGGGTGAATAGTGAAACTATGGAAGCACTGCTTTAAGGAGGAAGGAGCACGGTAATGATTTAATGAGTCCATTATCAGTCATTTGATATAAAAAAATTTCTTTTAAATTGGGGACACTTAATTTGTTTCAACCAGATTAATTACATTTTAAATGATAACATATGGCTTTAACCACAACAAAAGGATACTTAAATGGGTTTTACTTACAAATCCAACGTTCTCAGAATATTTTCTCAAACAACAGTAACCTCTAAATGTATAGTGTAATGATTTGCACTTGTGGTGGTGAGGGTGAAAGTTGGAACAAAGACAGCAATATTATTGAACGGAAACCTTATATCAAAAGATATTACTATAGAAATGTAAGGGATTGAATCATCATCACCATATATATTCATATCTGTAATAAAATATTATTTGAATTGAATAATATAATGGAGCAGAATTGTAAATGGTAAAATAAATGAAAGAATTTCGGATGTTCTATGAGGGGAAAATTGAATCCCAAGTTTCTTACAATTGTTTTACCTTTAATCTAAACAAATAAACACAACAGATCTTCCCAGATTTTAAACCATCAAGACTGGGAAATAAAAATAAGCACAATCAAGTTGGATTAAATTACATTGTAAAAAAGAAGGGAGGAGGACTAAAATACCCCAAATATAGGAGACAAAAATGAGAATGAAAATGTATAAAAATGGAGGAATAAACTCATTATCAATAAAGTCACCTTAGCACTGAGCAATTTGAAAAGTTGTTTGAGGGAAAGGAAAAAAAAGTTAGAATCAGCTTCATACCCTCAACAATCACAACAGCTATCACTGAACCAGCACAAGTTGGATCAAAGGCCACTGCTGTTACGCCAGAACCCCATGTAGTAGTTGCTGCAGATTGAGCTGCAGCTTCGGGACTTACATACGCTGAAAAATTTGAAACTGGTGAGCAGTATAGAGGTACAGCATCAAGAAGATTTTGGTCTGTCTGTTTTTTCCCTTGCTTAGCTTCAGATAATAGATAATCTTGCCAGCTAAATAAATATGCAGCTAACGGTGCAAAACCAGCCCAATTACGTGGGCTAAGAGGAGGAACAGCACAAGTGGTACTTGTCTTTGGAGCTACCTGGAAACCATTTCCCAGCCCAGGTGTTACCTCCCAAACTACAATAGTGGATGGATTAACGATTGGTACTCCTGCTACATGCATGGCACCACTGTCTGTTATGATAGCATCACCAGCCATAATGCCACTAGGCCCACAACCCAGAAGTCCTTTACTGGTGCAAAACCACTTTGGTGTCATGCCACTCTTGCTAGGAGGCCACTGGGACCAGTGAAGTTGAACAGAGCCCGATGAGAACACAGAACAAACACAAAGAAAATTGGGCCATCTAGCTGGGGAAAAAGACAATAGCACACATCAGTTGCACAAGCATAGGACTATGTAATACATATATAATACAATAAGTTAAAATAACATAAAAGGAATGAACAGAAAATATACAAGAGGTAACTTCATATCATCATGGCACCGGCCATCAGAATTAAGAAAAACTATATTCTTACAATAGGGGTTCTCATCATAAACAATATTCCATTCAGCCTCCACCGTATCCACCAGCGAATTATCGTCCACCACAACAGCAATCACAACATCTGCCTACTGCCACATTATCTAGCACAGGAAGCTGGATTACTACACACTACTCAGTATACAAATTGGTTCTCTGATTCTGGTGTGTCATACTCTTACTTGTTTCTACTATCACTAAGAATCTCATTAGTGTTAGTAAGTCTGCCAAAGACAATTCATTTTATTTTGAATTTCATGCTACTCACTGTTTTGTCAAATTTCAGGTAAAACATTTCTCTGTCAATCCACTTGTTCACAGTACTTCTGTTTCTAGCACTCAATCTATTTGGCATGCAAGGTCGGGGCATCCTAATTATTATGTATTGAAAATCATTTTACAGCAATGTAACAATTCCTTTTCTAATAAAAAGGCTACTACATTTTGTTATGCTTATTGTATGGGAAAAAAATTGTCATCCTTCTCCCTCATCTCAGACTGTATACAGTTCACTTCTTGAACTGGTTTACAGTGATATACGGGGACCAGTCCCTCTTATGTCCTCTTAACAGTTTTCAGTATTACATAACATTTGTTGATGCCTTTTCCAGGTTCGCATGGATTTATCTTCTCAAGCACAAGTCTGATACTTTCACTGTTTTTAAACAGTTTATGGATATGGCAGAATTACAATTTCAATCACCCCTGAAGAGCATTCAAACAGATTGGGATGGTGAGTTTGGACCTCTCTAAGTTCTTGGCTGACCTGGCTATACAAAATGGGGTCATGGAGTAGAAGCATTGGCAGGCATATTGTGAATCTTGGTCTACACTACCGAGTCATGTTTATCTACCACTTAAAATGCGGGATCATGCCCTTATTACTGCTGGTTATCTGATTAGCAGACTTCCTACAACCTCTCCTAGCTTTAATAGTCAATATTCTATTCTGTTTTGGATTACCCCCAATTATCACTTTCTCAAAACCTTTGGTTTTCCCTCCTGAGACCTTACAACCAACATAAATTTGATTTCAGGTCTCAAAAATGTGTTTTTCTTGAGTACTCTACAACACATAAAGGGTACAAATGTCTATCCCACGGGAAAATCATTTATCTCTAAAGATGTTTACTTAACTTTTTCCACCTGTATCCAATACTAACACATCCACTACTTCCCCAATCAGCAGTATTAGACCTACTATTTCTCTTCCTCATACTTCTATTCATGCTCATAACTCTGCAATTTCTTTACCCAACCCATCCAACTCCAGTTCAAATACTAGTTCACCTCTGTTACATACCAAACTCCCAGACAACAGATTAAAGGAAAGTGAGAGAAAAAGAATCGTTAATATTAGATAATGAAAAAGACTTGCAGAAAGAATTAACTTCTTCTGCCAGAGCAATGATCCTACAATGGCTACAACCCTCTGCCCATAAAAGAAAAATCACAGAATATTTCTACCCAACACTTCCATTCCCTCAAATACCCCCTGGTACTCATAATACAAATACATCCTTGCACGTCACTTCCTGTTTTCACACCCTTGTTTCTCCTCACATACATACACCCTTCATATTTTGGGTCTTCCGTTTAAGCCCAGGCGCACACTACCAGTCCTATCAATCTTTATCTTCATTCAACCATTAGACCATTTCTACATCTAGTTTTGACTCATCTCCTACACCTGTTAACACTCATCCAACGCAAACTCCATCCAAGTTTGGTATGCCTCAAACAAGAATACATTCTTCCCTATTTCTCATACATTCTAAATGAAAAAATGTCAAACAAGCTATGAAATATCCAAACTTGTAGAATGCCATGAAACAATAGTTTGATGCTTTGCAGAAATATAACCCCAGGACTCTTGTTCCTCTGTCCTCTAACAGACAGGCCATTGGATGCAAATGGAACCGTATATGAGATTTTCACTTCATACGGTTTGAAGTCATTAGATCCGTTTCCTAGTTTGGTTCGAGAATCTCTCCCCTTCATTTTTTGAATTAAAGAGAATATAGATGGTTCTATTACAAATACAAAGTCAGACTTGTAGCTAAAGGTTTTCACCAACAGCCTAGGTTTGATTTTTAGTGAAACTTCTCCCCCTGTTAATAAACCTGTCTCAATAAAACTAGTTCTACATTTGCTCTCTCAAGACAGTGGTCTCTTTATCAACTAAATGTTAATAATGCATTCTAGAATTGCAACTTGGTTGAAACAGTCAACAAGCAACAAGCTCCACGATTTGAAGCAATTGATTCTTCTCTTGCTTCTAAACTCAAGAAAGCTATCTATGGCTTAAAACAACTGCCACGACAATATTGCAGAAAGCTATCTAGCTTTTCAACCCAGCAAGTGTGATCTTTTATTATTTGTGTATAAATCATTCACTGCAAGTGGTATATATTTATGATATCATTATTAGAAGTAGCTCATTATTACTTGTTCAACAAATTATCAATCAACTCAATTCGGCCTTTTCTCTCTAACAACTTGGGCTGCTCGATTATTTCCTAGGCATTGAGTTAGAGCTCTTCCAGGTGCCTCTCCTCTACTAACCCAGGGCAGGTACATTCGTGATTCACTTCAATGATCCAATATTGCAGAAGCTAATCACATTTTGTTTCCTATAGCATCAAATTGCAAATTGTCCAAAGAAGGCTCTAATTTCTTAACTGATGCAACTTTATACAGATTAGTGTTTGCACGTTAGAGTATGATACCATAACTCGCCCTGAGTTTAGTTATGTTATTAAAAAGGATTGTCAATTTATGGCACAACCTCTTGAGTCTCATTGCGCTGCACTAAAATAGATTATTGGTTATCTAAAAGGTACGATATCATGCATGGACTTCATCTTCAACCTCTATCCTGTGTTTCCTCATTCCACCTGCAATCCTTTTGAGGTGCTGGTTAGGCTACAGATCCACATGACGCAGATCCACCTCAGGAGTTGTTATATATCTTGGTTAGGCTACTGTGTATATATATATATATATATATATATATATATATATATATATATATATAGTAGCAAGGTCCAGCACTAAAGTGAAGTACAGAGGCCTTGCTCAACCAACCTTCAGGAAAAGTGTCGTGGCTTGAATCCTTACTGAATGAACTTGGTGTATATCATAAGCCACACCAGTCATCTTTTGTGATAATCAAATTGCAATAGTTGATCACAATCCTGTTTTCAGTGCCAGAACAAAGCATATGGAAATTGATATCTTCCTTGTTCGTGAGAAAGTTCTGGCTAAACATATCTCTGTGGAGCTTGTGTCTGCACAAATTGAATGGGCTGATATTCTCCCCAAGCCTCTCTTGCCTACCAGATTTTTATTTCTGAGAGACAAACTCAATGTGGTTGACTTTCCGGCTAAAATTCACCCACCTTATGTTTGCTGGGGTGAAGGGCAGGGTGTGAGTATTATTGTGTTAATCAGTTTGTAAAGACTGTTTTACTCTTGTCATGAATAGTAAGTTAGGCCAGTACAACTTTCACTATGACAGTTGTTTCTGTGAACTCCATATAAGAAGCCCTTGTAACAGTTTGTGACAACTTTTCATAATAACAGATTCTATTCTCTCTCTTTATTCTTCTCTTTCTCTTTCTCAATGTCATGTTTCAATTCTACTATTACTAAACAATAGAAAAGTGGTACTTCTAGATACATATTATCACTAAGAACTAAAACAATTGTTCTGGAACAAAAAACAATGAATCAGAACCAACGAGCTTCTATCTCAATCGGCAAAACCTGAATTTTGTGGCTTGGGCGTGATGTCAATGGTTCAACCATCCAACAGAGCAACTATCCCCTACTCAAGTGCTTACACTGCCAATGTATCAAAAAGAAGAAGAATAGGAAGTAAATAGAGTAATTGACCTGAAGTTTGAGATTGCTGGGAAAGAAACTTTTCCTCAAATGTAGACTTCGAATTGGCAGTAGCACTTGATTTTGATGATAGCCACCTATACTATTAATTCAAAAAGCAATTGATTCAGACTAAAAATAAAGTAACCAATAATACATAGAATAGACTTAATTCTAACAGCCTGACAAACAATGCTTGAGTTCTTTTATGCAGAAAAAGGGATCCATGTAATAATTTAAACTGATTTTAGGGACTGCTGAATAGAGGAAGAATAATGACTTGTTTGATTTAATTTTGTTTTTTAGTTTTTAAAAATAGTTTTAGAAATCAATTTTGATACATTGTTTTTGAGAATATGTTAAAAAAAAATAAAAAAAAATCGTTTGATAGCTCTAATTTGAATGCTGTTTTAGATGCAAGTAGATCACACCAACTGCAGCAAAGACTCGTAGCAGAAGCTGGACAATAACTTCAACAACGAAAGTGAATGATGTAGTGCAACTAGTAAAGAAGGGTACCATTAATGAAACAAAAAACTAAAACAAAAAAAATATTTGATTAGTTTTGGTTCTTTAGTTTTTAAAAACTAAAAAACAAAAACTGTTTTTCAAACATGTCTTGCCAAAACATTTACAAAAAAAGTTTTTTAATTTTAACATCTAAAATCTCAAAATCGCTTGTAAAAGCAGTAAACAAACAAGCCCTAATTCTTGCGCATATTATTCACAAATAAAAGATTTACATAAATAGGAAAGGCTTCCAATTAGATACTAATAGAAGAAAGGAAAGTAAATACAAAGGGATCAAATAAAATCAAAAATTTTATTTTGACCCAAAAATAAGCAAATCAGATCAATCACAAATTTGATTTTAACCCTAATTATTTCAAATCAGAATCATCTCATTAATTATTCAATCTTACAGAAAATAAAATTCAGCTGTCTAATTAATTCCTAATCTAGACATACAGCTGTCAACATCCCCGCTCAATTTAGAGCAAAGATGTCCAACTTGACTAACTTGCTTACAAGAAACTCAAAAGTTGGGCCCAAAAAGGTCCCATACTAAGCATGTCAGGAACTTGCTGTGAAGTAGGAACTAAAATAATGAGAGGTAGAATCATTTTTGTGTATATTATTCACGAATAAAATATTTAAATAAATAGGTTATGCGAAAACTTAAACTAGACCATTCTAATATTCAATTTGGGGAAGGATATTGACATCATATTCAAAAATAATTTGGGGAAGGATAAATTGCGCCACTCTAGGTAGTCATAATAATGTCAACAAAGTTCTCAATTAATCCCCACTAGCAATTAAATCCTCCACTATGCAGTCTTCAATTTCTACTAGCAATTTAGTTTCACTAGTGTTGCTTTTAATTCCTACTATATGCATCATTACTTCCCACCATGAGAATATGAATAATCATCTTCTCTTATGATTTTCAGTCAACCCACACTTGTAATAGTTCAGCCCACTTAATTAAAAACACAATAAAAAATTACAAAGAAAAACTCAAAATCTTATTAACCCCCTCTAAATCATATCAATATGCAAGGCTGCCAATTACATAAAAAATGTAGAAAGGAAAGTGAATAAAAAGGGTTCAATTAAATCAGAGAAATTTTATGTTGACCAAAAAATAATCAAATCATATCAAATCAGAATAATATGATTCTGACCCTAATTATTTGACATCAGATCAAATCAGAACAATCTAAGTAAGTAATTATTCAATGTTCTAAAAAATAAAATTCAACTATCTAATTAATTCCTAATATATACATACAGGTTGTCAACAGAAACTACGGTCTAGCTTAATGAAAAATTATAAAGATACAAATATTGAACTACATGCTTAGAGGTTCAATCATTGAAAAGTCATTTTTGAAAATAACCAAACCAAAAGAGAGACAGAGAGAATCCCTACCCCTTAAATAATTACATAAATGTGAGGACAAAATTAGACAAATGAAATGTTCACTACACTTTATCAAAAGAAATGTACATTGAATTTTAATATGGTAGTAGAAGACTAGCTAACATTATACCGGAGACACCCCTGATAGCCACTTTGTAACAACTGCAATATCTTGTCGCCACTCATGCTCACGTTGCCAACAACTAGTATCATGGACAAGATTAGCTGGGCCCTAAATGGACAAATAAAATAATGTGTGAGGAACAAACATACAATACAAGCAAATACTTCCAAAATAGAGAAACCATGAAAGGGTAGAGGTGGGCAAAATAATCGATGAAATATAATAAACTAAAAGATATCCTAAAATAGGACTTAACACCTCCAAAGTGAGAAAGTGGGTAAAGTAAGAAAGTAAAAGTTCATCAACAATTGATTTTAATTGAAGAACCTTGTCAAATTACCCCACTCCAAATCAAGGGTGGATGCCCTAACTTTCTGACTTTAGACTGCGTTAAATACCCGTGAATAAATGTTATAGGCACAAAGAGGGAGTCGAATACCCATGAATAAATATGTTATAGGCACATGCATTAAGGACCCCTACAATATTGATAAACCACACTTACTTGAGAAGGTTGAGTCCAAATAGTTACCCTCCCGTGGAAATTTGCAATCAGTAATGCCCGGGGACAAGAGGTTGGGGACCATTCGATGAACTGGACAGAATCACGAGGAGAATCTGCAATCGATATAAATACAATTAATTAAACTTACAAAGAACAAAAAACAAAAAAAGATCAATTGGAAAAAGAAAGCTCTAAATGTAGAAAGAAATGAGAAAGGATATCCAAATGGCACTCAATCAACGAGCAGTCAACCAAATAATGACAGAAAAATTTATTGCATATGAGGATATGCTGCTCCTAAACTCACTTGGATCCAAAGTTTAAACTTTGCTATCTGAGTTTAGGTGACATTCACTCACTTTCTCAAGTTTTCCAGGACAACTAGAGAGCACCATAGCTGAAGCCCATAATCCTGTTTTGAATGTTCAGACTAACATGGATCTTGGCCAATTTTTGATCGAGAGAAGGTCCTAAGCAAGCAGCTTCAAGTTGTTCATGTTCCAAACCGAACATTGACCAACGTGCAGACATCTCAATAGAGCTCCCTCTCCCACTCACTTCCATGTCATTAGATTCAAGTTGGGACAAAGTGATTCCTCTGTATCAAAACCCTCAAGCTTTTGGTGTGTGTGTGGGTGGGTTGGGGGGGTTGTTATTTTCATAAAGATATTACTTTATCTCCTAACTATTATTGGTTAAGTTAGAGCTAGTTGACAGTTACAGCTAGAAAATGTGTCAGCTAGTTACCTAGACTTGTATTTGGGGCAGCTATAAATACTCAAACTCTCTTGCTAGTAATAATTCAATTCTTTAATGAAAATCGGTTTTTCCTTGGACAATACAAGTGAGAGAACATGAGGCATAGCCTTAAGTCCTTGTTTAATCTAGCCTAGGATGTGCTTATTAGGGACGTGAAAAAGATTATCCCTAATTGAATGCTTTGTGCAAAAGATATAGTTTTGGTTGAGGAATCAAGGAAGTTTTCAACTTATACTAGAACTTTCGAAGGACTAGGTAAACAAAGGGTTTTCACTAAGACATGATCTATGTATTGCAATTTTAGCAGAGACAAATAATATGATTTTGAAATAGAAAAAAAAAGCTGTCATACCACACATTTCTAAGTTTAAATAGATGGTACCCATACTACAAAAATAATGGAAAAATTAATGAAAATGTCATACACAGCATAAAAATGGAATGCCTAAGCATACATGTGTTGAATCCAATTTGGATTCTTTTACAAAGATAGTTTTAATAGAGGAAACAAGAGTTGAAGTTAACTCTAAACTTTAGCCTTGGATATGCACTTTAGAATCAAGGGGTTTTTGCATGGACAGGAGGATAACAGTGTACATGCATTGCTATTTTAGCAAGAAATAAGGACTATGGAAGCACAAATGGAAAAAGAAGTCATAAAATTGGCTTCTCAGTTTAGTATCTATGATAAGTATTACAAATGGGAAAATGATGGGCACTATTCACGATCACAAAGTATCTATTAAGCTTAATGGAAAATTTTATCATATTACTATATGCTCAACTAAACTTCATGGTAGTGAATGTTGTAAGCAAGTTAAGATTAGAATGTTAAGATGGATATACAACCACATAGACAATGACAAAATAAGAAATGGGTTAAGGCAATTTGAACATGTGCAAAGGACCAAAAGCACATGTGATAATAGTTTATTACATTTTAGTCCAAAAATGGAATCAAGGTTTATCCCAGATAATTAAAAGTGTCACCTACAAAATTACTACCTAACAAGCTCAATAGCATTAAAGGGTAAGGGAGTATATTGGGAAAAAAATTAATTTCACATTAGCTAGAGATAGTGCCAAAAATATAGTATATAAGTGGAGGTCAACTCTCACCTTCAAAGTTGGTTCAGTAAGTGCTAGCATGTTGGCAAAGTTTAACTTGTTTCAGTTCCTTTTAGAAAAGAAATCAAACATGTATCCCTAATTGACACAATTCACATTCTAAGACTTGAATTTTGCTAAACTCAAAAATCATCCTCTTGAAATTTTGATAAGTGTAGATGACCCCAAAGATCATGGAAATGTTTAGGAGATTGACATGATAAACATGACATAGATGGTCTAGTTCATCATTATCAAACTTGCTATTCAACACACTAACTCGGACGAGTTTGCGAGTTCAATGACTGGTCATGAGTTAACTTGTGAGTAGACTCGTTTTTCAACCGACACGGTGCAAACCCAATGGACTCAGCGGAAATCAAACTTGCAGGTTAGGCGCGAGTGAACGAGTTTGGAAGAAAAAGGGAAAACAACACTTATCTAGGTTGTTTCTTCAAGTTTCCAACCTTAGATCATGGCTTTGTGTTTTCACCTGTATTCGTGTTGATCAACCATGCTCACCGCTCTTCGTTGCGCATCAATGCTTGCAGCTCATTGCTCATCGCTCGCCCGCTGCTCACGCTACTTGCCACTGCACTAGTCGTCTCCATTTGTGTTGGTCTCGCTGGTCATTGTCACCGTTAACGTGGGTCATCATTGTTGTTCGCTTTGTTCACACAAGCTTAAGGTTCAAGCTTCTTCTTTTTCTCTGCCAATATAAGCTTCTTGATAAAGCTACTTCTTCTCACTGTCACCACACCTGATTCTTTTTTTACGATTTTTTTTTTTAATTTGTGTAGTACTATTGTTGAGTTAATTTGTATTTTTTTTATCTTAGTTATTTTAGATATAAAGATTGAAATTTGAAAATTTTCTAGTTCAAATTGTTATGAAGCCAATTTAACTACATCCTCACTTCCACCTACAAGTAAGGAAATAGGACAAATATTGGGTGGAAACATGGAATGGATGTTTTGGGCATTGTTATCTTATCACTTTAAGAATTAATATTTTATTAATGTATTATTGTATGAACTTATTTATTTTAATAATATGGAAATGAAACTATCATGCTAATATTTTTTTTGTTAAATTGGTATTTTTCATATGAAGTAGAATCTTACAAGTTGAGTCTCCAGATCTCCCACAAGTCTACGTAAACTCTTAAGTTTGATAACCTTAGTCTAGTTCCAAAAATAGTATAGTCCTCTAGATTTATGCCTTCCGCCAATCAGTTGACCCTTACCATACTCTTGTATAATAAAAGAATTAGCATCAAAGGTTGCGAAATAATTTAATGATTTAGTTAATTTAGATTGGGTATAAGGATAGCTTGGTTGTTGGACTTTAACCCAATCTAATCTTCATCCGAAGATCTTGATTCTCAAATTTGGGGAAATTTGTTGTCGTGTCTAGAAACCACATAAAGAGAAGCAATTCTCTTGAGTATGGTCCATTTTCTTAGAATAAGAGAATTTAGAAAGTCTAATACCACTGCATCCTCCTCTATTGTCATGACCTCCCTTTTTCTAAGTAAATACCATACCAGATGTTTCAGTAGAATCATGAAGATTTCTGTTTTTAAGTGGGGGAACACGATATGCTGTTAGGTTATTCATTGATAGAACTTCTTGACTGGTTAGAATTTGGTCCCAAACCTGAAAAAAATTTGGGTATTTGGCACAAATAATGATAACCATATAGACTTAACAACAAAAGAGGTCATGTCATGATCTATTTGTTTGAGAGAAACCAATTTATGGGTAGTCATGAAGGCATTAAATATCATTTGCGAAAATACTCTTTCCAAAAAGAGTTTCCAGTTCTGAATGACCTGGCGGCAGTGCCCAATATATTGTGTTCCGCGTATCCCCATAGCTCACAAAGCAGAAAATCCATTTTCTTCCCCTTTTCAGCTTGACCTTATGGTACTTCACTCCCACCTTCAAAATGATCATGGAAACCATGGCCAAGAAACCAATGTTCAACTTAGGCAGACCAAGATAGATAACTTTTTTCCCATTAAGCTTATCTAAAGTAATAGTGGGAGAACCAAAGAAAAAATATGCCAATCCAAAAAGGGTAAAACAGGAACCCTATAAATTGTTCAAGGGAGCCAAAAATCCAACCAATAAGGGTGGAACAAAGGAGGGTTGAAACAAACAGTAGAGAAGATAGTGAGTGCACGTGTGGCACGAAATCACTCAGTGATTAGAGGGGACATTGGTGCTTGTGAAGCTGCATTTGTGTGGCAGCGCATGGGGCAAAATTTTCCACAAAGACTAGCATGATTTTGCACCACTTGGAAAGTTACTTCAGATCTAGTGGCCACTAGAGTAAACTACAACAATAGACTATGTTTTCTTTGTCAGACAAGGACAAGAACAAGGGTAGGTAAAGTAGCCTTTAAGCCTAACCCAACCTCACAAAATCAACTTCTAAGACGATGTTTGAACCCACTTATATACTAGAATTTGGTCACATCTCGAATCGATAAGGGATCTCTAACAGTAAGGTTATGTTACAAACAAACCCAAATTCTAAGAAAGAACAAGAAAGACATTGAAGGAAATATTTAAGAAGGGTTTCATATGGTGAATAACATCCCCAAGAATTTGGTCTTTAAGAATAATTGAGCCCAATGGCTTTGTGCAATTCATGTAGCTAAACTTACCTAGTGGAACAAGGCTTTTATGGTGGTGGTTTGGTCAGGAGAATTGCTAAGAGATATTTGTGTGGACTTCCATTTACTGTAGCGTGGACTATCATTTAACAAACTTCTGCAATTCAGTTGTAGGGAGTGTTTTATTTGTTGTTTGCACATCGTTAAAGACTCTCAAAAGTGGCTGAGAGAAATTGTAGGATTGTCATTCAAGGTGGTTTTAAAAAGATATCCAAACATACTCATAATTTATCATTTTCTGGTAGTATATTCAGTTACACAGTGTAATTAACAACCGAGTCAGCAGCTAGTTCATATAAATACCTGTAAACAATTTCAAAATCTCTTTCTGCTCATTTTCTACCAATATTAGTAATGGATGATGATACATTTGAACACATTTTCATCACAACTTATATTACCCCTTTGAAATCATGTTCAAGGGATGTAATTTCAAAGTCTAGCCATCAATAACTACTCCAACAACATTGAAAATTAAAGAGTGATCAAATGCCAAAAGAAGTGATTTCAAAAGGATTATCCAGATCAAGGATCTCCCTCCACTGGTTTAACTTATTAAAGTGCTACAAGAACTGAAAATTAAAAGAGGTAAATGTGGAGATCTTAACTTGAACTGTGTAACTCTAAATCAAAATATTGTTATTATTAGTTTATGCAAAATGATAGTGTTGGATAGCTTTGTATACTATAAGCTCTATGCAGTGAACGCAAAAGAAATTCAAAAAAAAGAAAAATATCAACAGTCTACAACTTCACAATTGTTCAGGCTGTTTTGCCATTAGATACATAATACAGCAAAAATTGAAGCATCCAAGGATACCAAATGAAGTAATGTCATCAAAATACCTGCTATAACATTGAACACTGCACATTCAGTCGGCCTCTCAGGGATCACAATATGTATAGGGATCCAAAATGGTGGATTAGCCGTTGAACTATGGAAGAAAGAAAACCACTAATAAGTATTACAAATTGGCAATAAAACCAAACAAACAAGTGCCAGCAAACCAATGAAATGAGCAACAGATACATGAATGAGCTGAGGAAGACAGCATCTGTTCTAGTTTGTAAAAATAAAGTTATGTTTGAGCTTTGAACAAATATAAAGGAACATTTACTAAATGATATGGTTTTCAAACAAAATTAAGTTAACTTAACTTAGAACTTAAATGAGCCAGTTGCATTTCATGGTAAATTCAGGTCATTTAAACAAAATGGTGTCGTCAGAGCTTGCTTTCTTCTACCATTTTTTTAAGCTCAATAAAAGCTTTGGTTTACAAAGCCTTTTTTTTCATTTTTATTCAATAATGTAATATTAGAAATTTAGTATATTTATTGCATTTGGAGTCTCCATGAAAGGTTAGATGGGACTTTTTCTAGTCATTCATTGCCAAATTTGTCAGCCAACAAATAAGGAAACAGGCTAAGCAGAGAAAGATATTATATAGGCCAATTAAAGAAACATGTTCAAAGACTCTGTTAAATATGTTAAAAGATAAAGTACTTCATTTAGGTCACCACAATCAACATAGGAAAAAGAAGATCAGGAGGTTTAAGATATTAATCAACTAAACTAGGTGTGTTTGAATGAGTTTATAACAACTTATTTGGCCTTATGATAGAAGTACTTGTGTAAGTGTTTTGCAAGCTTACGCTATGCTAATACATTGATTTCAACTTATTTCAATAAGCTCCATAATAGCGTATAAATAAAAACTTAAACCTATATGAAAACAGATTAACTATATTTCCTCTTTGATTATTTAAACAACTTACTTAAGATAAATACTCAGGGTTTGTTTAGACAAACTTCTCCATAAAAACTTTTGGGACAGAAAAATAAGAAGAAAAAAATTAACTGAGCTTCTACATAAGCTAAAAATAGCCTATGCAAAAGTTTAAATGTAAAAATTTACAGAAGATATATGAGAAAACTTCTACAAATTAGCTTATGGAGAAGCTCATTTCATTTTTTTTCTTCTTATTTTTCCACCTAAAATACTTATGGGGAAGTTTATCCAAGGACACCATTATTCAATAAATATTATTAAAACAACTTACATATAGTGCTTTTATGCTAAATACTTGTTCCATAAGTACAATTTACCCAAACACATGCCAAGCCTAGTTGACTTTAACAATAAAGTATCATGCAATGAATCTCCAGAACAACTTTCTCAATCTTATCAATTCTATTGATTCTTCTGCAGTTCTGCTGTGTTCCTGTTCAGTTATCTTCTATACGAAGAGAAAGACTTGTCCTTGATTAAACATATAGAACACACTCAATGATTTGGAAACATGTCCAAATGGGGGAAAAAAACCAGAAACCTTGGAATTCTGGCGCAAGTTTCTGCTGCACAAGCTATAGCATTAAGTTTTCCACACCAGGAAACAGCACTGCAGAAAAACAAGCAAGATAAAAGAAAATTTTAGCACAAGTTTGTGATATAACACGCCCTGGCCCATCCATCACCACAAGGATGAAAAAACCATCAGAAGAGGTCACTACAAGCTACATCAGCAACCGTGCATTTTTTTTTCTCCCAGCTTCATATCATGTACTATGTTTGAAAAAACTTCTCCAGAATCACTTTTAAATTTCCCCGGACACTAAAAATACGCACTTAACTTTTATAGAACCACTCTCATCTACTTCTCTTAAAGATGAAGTACATTAGTAGATTTTGGGAGATGTTCGGTTAACCTTTCATCCTTATTTTCGTTTGTCACAAGTGCTTACAGATCACTATCACACTAAAGAAATAAGCTTCCAATTCACAGAACCCCTCCAAAAAAAAAAATCCACAAAAGACTTAATTTGAGCTAGACCCAGCTCAATTTCGAAGTACTGACCTAAAATTGCGACAGAGTTCAGGAACGCTCATCTTGTGCAGCAAATTGGACCTAGGTTGCTTGAGCCTGATGGAGAAAACGGTGGCGGGGTTGACCGAATCTTCCTCCATCGGGGCCGGTGGTTTTTCCTCTGGTCCGACCTCTTGCTCTTCGGTGGAGACTGCAGCGACGACGACGACGGCCGAATCGGTTTTGTCAGGAGGCTTGGGAGTGTCTTGGGGTTGGGGCAGAGACTGAGCGACGGGCTCACCCTCTGGGTCCTTTGTCCCACCAATTTGATTCATTCGGAAAAGCCCTAATTTTTATACGTGTGAGAGAGAGAGAAAGGGAATTGGGTTAGTGGTGGAAAGTCGCAATTGAAGGCGACAGATAGCACTGTTGAAAATGTAGAGAGAGAAATGTGGAGAGTGGGGTAAGTGGGAAAAGGGGGAGAAACAGAATGAGAGGGTTTGGGGTTTTGATTTGTTTAATAAAGGAGGGATTGTGATAGGATGGGTGATCTGGGGTTAGGGTTTTTGTGCTGGGCATGTGGTGGACAAAGCAAAGCCGGTGGTGCTACAGGGTGTGCCAAAGAAAGCAAGTTAGAAACAAAGAAATTGTTTTTCTTTTGTTTTTTCTTCAGAGTTAAGGTGGTGGCAATTTTTTTTGCTTTTTTACCTTTTTCTTCTGATCTTGGTCCGAGGCTGTCTGAGTTCTGTTGTGATAATCAACCACTGAAAGAGATGTCTGTGCATAAAAGAGTGACTTTGCTTGCTTAACAAAGAAAACTCCAGGAATAAGAACGATTTGGTTTTCTTGTTACTTATTTTATTTCTGTACTTTTGATTTGGAAAAGGATCATAGAATTGGTATTTTTTTCTTTTTCTCTTCTGATAAATGGTTTAGTTATATTTGCACTGGTGGTGAAATTGAGATGAAATTGGAGCTGAATATTCGACTTATAAGAGAACATTCTTCGTTTAAATATTTGAAAGTGTTTTACAATTTATTTTTACATTGCCTGATTCCACTTTCATGATTCTGGGTAGAAATACAAAAAAACTCCTATAAATTTTTCTTTCAAAATGCTTTTCTATTCCTCCAAAGCTATCACTAAATCATAATTTCTATCCTCATATAATCTTTTTTTGTCTTTTATACAAGTTTTTTTTTTTCAGTGCAGTGGATATTAATCTCGTTTCAACATTTTTTGTATTGTAATTTATTTTTATAGTAGAAATTGAATATAAAATTTTAACTTAAACATTTATTAAGTAATATATTTTTTAATTTTACGTATAATCTTTCATAATTTTATTTGCTGTATAAGAGTTATGGTGATGCGCCATTTTTTATTTTTTTAACTAAAAAAAATTTTTTTCATCTTATACTCTTTATTTGTTGAGTAAGAGTTGTTAAATTTACAATTAAACTTATTTATAAATATGTATTTTAAGTTTTGTTTTTTTTAATAAAAATTAAAATAATTTGTTTTTATTTTAATTTACTTGCTTTTTTATTTATTGATTTGTTGTCTTTTTTAGAATAGTTAAAGTTTTCAGAATGAGATCCATACTTATATTTCAATTTTCTTGATTCATGTCGCATACATATGGATCTGAAAAATTGTGTTCTCCTTAAAGACTTGCACAAGCAGAATATGTCAAATATGTAGATAATAGATATAAAAGAGTTAATTTTCAACTTGAGAATCATGGCTTCACATGAGCATAAATGAATTTTCTTATTAAATAAAGTTCAAACTTATACCCGGGTGGTCCCCTTTTCAACTTCTTAAAAGGTTTAACAACCATATTTATAAATAGCAACTACCATTTTATTACCATGTTAGTTTTTCTTTTATTTATCTCTTACGCAAATAAATGATTAATGTATGATAGATTAATACTAATAAACATTGCACATTTCAAACCTCTTAAACATGAACATGAAGAAGTCATTAATAATAAGTTTATCATAAGGTGATATGAACCTCATTTATATAAAGACTGATTTAAAATCTTTAAGGTTAGAACTTTGTAGGAAATTAGTGAAAAGTTGGATTAGAAAATATGAAAGTTTCAAGATTTGGCAGAATTATTAAAACGTCGATATTTCAAACTATAAAACTCTGATTGAAAAATGAGGTAAAAGTTTTCTTTCTGAATTTCAATTTAGGCTCAAGAAACACTTAATTTGAACGAACAGAACAAAAGTTACGACCATGAAATAAATTTGCATAGAATTGAGTTTTTTTTTTTTATTCTGGTAAATAAAGGATAAGAGGTGAATATAAAAGGTTGAAGAAAATAATCATTCTTCTTTAAGGAGGCAACTCACAAAGAATGTGAAAGTTCTTTGATAGAGTCAAAGACATTCAAGAACTTAGGAGAATCACTCTTACCAATATAAAATAGTTAAACTTTAATATTTAAGAATTAAATTCAACTTGAATTTTTGATAAATATGGTTTAAGTAATATAAAAGTTTTGTCATCATAATTACAAAGATTCAATAAAGGAAAATAAATCTTAATAATGATCCATTAATTTAGGAATTGAAAACTACTTAATTGAGACAAATAAATACTAATAATGATCCATTAACTTAGGAATTTAAAACTACTTAATTAGTGATTGTAAATGAAATTGTGACAACTAAAAGTTAATTAGTTATGGACCATCTTGGTTTTCCAAAGACTCGATACTCAAGTTTCAAATTTAACCCTTAGTACAACTTGAAACAAAATCAAACTAAATCTCATTAATTAATTAACCCAAAACATAATTTGGTTAGCCAATTTTACAAGGGATTAGGTCATTATTTAAAAAAACTTAAAAGACTGAAACAAAGTGATGCATTAGTCCTTCTCGAATTGGGTCATGATGTAATTTACAATTTTGATATTCTCTCCTTGAAATTTGGGCTTGTATTCAAATAATATGAACAATAATTGTTGAAAAGTTTCGTTTATTTCCCTTACTCTAGCCTTTATCATAAATCCTCCAAGTCTTTTAAGTAAATCTTTATCCTTGTTCATGGTCATGTTCCCATCAAAAGGAGACATAAATTAGAAAAAAGAGAAACTATTGCAAAATAATGAATCAAACAAGATAAATGAAGATCTAAACAACTAAAAAGATTACAAAAGAATAACTAGAAAGTTAGAAAAAAAAATATATATATATATATATATATATATAAATATTTATTTAAGTGTTTCTCATAATTCACTAAAAAGTAGAAAAAAAAATACCATATTTATTAATTAGTTAAGGAAGTAGGTCAACCAAAATTGATAGCTAATTTGGATATTCAGATGATTTACAATAGATGTAATCATCTTATTTTGAAGGTAATTAGTATATTTAGTCTAATGTTGTCAATTAGTTTGATGTTAGTATCTAATTAAATGTCAATATTTAGTCCATTTATACCATCAATCTAATGTTAGTAGTAAGGGTCATGTGTCATCAATTGTTTTGATGACAATTAACTCATTTGAGGACCAATAATTGATCGAATGCCAATAGTTTGTTTGATGGATTTAGTGTGTCATTTAATACTAGTATTTCATTTGATGGATAAATTTATACCAATAACTCGTTTAATGGTCATCTAGTACTCATAAATAAGTGGAATGCTCAACTTAAAATAAGGTCTTGATTTGGTTAGGTTTCCCACCACTCATATTTTCATCTTCCATTTAACTTATATAAGACTTTTTCTATTATTTTTAACACAACTTTGAATTTTTAAAAGTTTGAGTTCTCTCAATTGGTTGAATTAGTTAGAGGTATTTTTCTCTTCATTTGTTTAATGGTGATTAACTTTCTACTTATCTTTCACCGTGGAGATTATGTGTTGTCTTATTTGTATCTTTTTTTTCTTTTGATTTTCAAATTGCTTTTGAGTTATTATTGTCTTCGTCTTAAAATTGTGACCTAATTATTGAATATTTGTTGATATAAGTTGGATTTCTCCCATTAAACTTTTTTTTTAATGATGAGTTCTAACATTAATCGTTTTAATTTCAATATAATCACTGGTTCACAGTTTTGTAACAAAACCTAATTCTAATTATTCTTTAATGAATCTCTTTGATGATTTGGAGGCTTAGTCATAAGTTGGTCCATGTATAAAGATTCATAAATCATAATCTCCTAATTGGCACGTAATATTATGTTTGATTATTTTGTACTTTTATAATTTTTTATTATACTTTTTATCTTTTAGGGAAATTTAAAGTTTGCTTAGGCCTTAGTCGTTGGTCTTTAATTTGGTTACAATAAATATATATATATATATATATATATATATATATATATATATATAAATGAAAATTTGGATAAAGACAAAAGTCATAATTAGTTAAAAAAATCATTAATGATTAAATTTAATTAATTAATTTTCAATTTATTCTTAAATTTTAGTAATAATAATAATAATATATATACCACATGTATTTAATTGACAATTTTTTTATCATTTTATATTGTTACAATTATGTTTTTTTCTATTCTAGATAATTTTATCCTTTTATTTATTTTTTCTAGGTTGTATAACCTTTAAAGTTTTATAGAATTTATTTTGAATTATTCTAACTTTGGGATCATGATTTTGACTTCAAATATGATATCTTCTCACATTCATGGTTATTATTATCTTAAATATTTAATAACAATATGATTTAAACTTAACATGTTATCTTATTTCACTACTAAATTTTAAAACTAAAAAATTATTATTTTTTATAGTCAAACCACATAATATATTAAAATAATCATTACAACTAGTATTTTAATCTACTAAAATATTACATAAAAAAGAGAATAATGGTGAATTATCACACTAACTATTTATTTATTTATTTATTTATTTATTTTAATAGTAATATAATAACATAAAAGTATTATATATGTTAAATTGCGTTATTTTTTGATCATTATTAATGTTTTAATTTTATTGATAATATATATATATATATATATATATATATATATATATATCTCCTCCATAAACATTTATATAATAATATAATATATAATTCTTCATAATCCTTTCTCTCATCTTTTATCTCATTACTAATATTTTTTTTTTAATCTAAGGTTGACTTCAATCCATCAAGTATGGTAAACTATCATCAATCCTAGATAAAATTAAGTTTTTCATGTATATGAAAGTCTTATGTGTATGACCTATTATCTTGTGATTGTTTGTCCAAATTCATAATTCATTTTCTTCTTACTACAACCACATGTCATTAGAATAATTTGCATAAGTCTCTACTTCATCTAAATATAAT